AGCTTTCGTCCTTTCTCCATATTCTAATACCTAAGAACACAGCGGGAATCCTAGCACCCTCCCAGCTTGAAGGGAAATGATCACCCCACAGGCTTTGGGTAAAGAACCATGGCCCCTCTGGGAGCCCCTGTTTCCCCTCTCCTCTTGGAGCTCTCTCCCACCCTGCTGCCTTACACATGGGCTTCAGCTGTCCCAACAACTCCTCCCGGGACCACTTCAGCCACTCTCGACGGTCGCTGCTGATGGAACAAAAGATGGGGCTGCAGCCCTTTCCACAGTCCTCCAGGGCTGGGACGTTCAGGTAGTGCACAAGGACGATGTCAGGGTTCTGAGAGCATAATGGGACACAGAGCCATGGGGTCCTGAGGTCCAGGGGCTCAGCTTCCTAATCCTCACTTTCTCCCTGGGCACCCTCCTCACCTCACCCCCAATTTCTGGCCGTCTCCATCCCCAAGCCCTTTTCTCTTCTTCCCAGGCCCCTTTCCTCATTCAGAACCTAGTCATCCTTTCACTTCATTCTTTCAGACCCATGTCCCTCAAAGAGCCAGGAAGAGTCTGGCTCCCTGGGCTCTTCCATCCTTACCTGGAGCAGCCAGTAGCAGCGCCGATGGAATGTGGGGACGATGGAAGAGTGAACGTAGCAGCCATAGAGACACTGCCAGGAGACAGGCTGGGGTGGGGGGAGGGCTAGTCTGCTCCCCAACTCTTCCTCTGTTCAGTCCCTTTGCAGGAATCCCAGTCTTTCCACCAGTTCCTCTTCAACCCTTCCCCCACCCTCACCCCCACCTATTTCCCTACCCCTTTTGAATCTCAGCAGCCCTGTCATAGATGAGGGATGGAGAGAAAGGAACGGTGACGCTGGGACCTTACAATAAGGACCAGATTTGCGATATGGGACCATCTAGAAACCAGAGGGCAGAGCAAGAATGCATCTGAGATGAGGGGCAATGATTTGAGGAAGAGAAACCTGTGCTGAGATCATCACTGCTTGGATCCCTGAGGGAAACACAAGAGCAGTGAGGGGCCTGGGCATCAGTTCTGGAAGGGAGGCATGGCCTAAGAGAGTTGAGTCATGGAGGGAACTGGGAAGTGAAGAGTGGCCAATGCAATCAGTCAGCCGATCCAGAGTGAGAGAGAAGGGAAGACTGACTGGGAGGGATCTGAGGTGGACAATGTCACCAAGCCCTGGTAGGGCTGGCGCCCAGCTAAGGGTGGAGGAGGGTAGGCTTGGGCAGATGAGCTGAATGTCTGAGTCTCTTACCTCCATGCCCTGGACCTTCAGCTTCATGTGGTCCTCTCGCGTGGTCTTCCCATCCTTCCGCTTCTTCCAGAGGTAACCATCCTTCCGATATTTCACCTTCTTCCGATTGTAGAGGATGATGGAGCCATTCTGAGGCCTGGGAAGGGAAGAGTTGTTCTGGAATTCTGTGAACAGAACCCAAGGCCCCTGCCACTCCCCAAAGTTCTCAAACTTTCTCACCTTGTTTTTGGGGCACAAGATAGCCACTCATCATGCTTCTCAAAGGTGATCAAGTAGGATGCAATCTCCTGTAGGAGAGGAGGCACTCAGGTGGGTGTCTCCTTCATAGAGAGTCTCAGCCTGGCCTCTTGGTCATCCCATCAGTGTCTCACTCTCTGCTGAGTTGTGGCAGCTAGTGGAGGATGTGGCAGCTAGCAGTGGACCCAGCAAGACCCACTGCCCTCCTAAGAACCCCTCTTCTGTCCTAAGACAAAAGTCTAACATTTTCTCCTTCTGTTGTTTTCTCCTTCTGTTGTTTCTGCTTCTGTTGCTCGGGACTTTATCTTGGGGGCAGGTCCACATTCTTCATCATCCATTCATCATACTGTAAATTATTTTATTCTCCAACAATTTCATTTTTGTGCCCTTTCTTTTTTTTTTTTGAGGCAGAGTCTCACTCTGTTGCCCGGGGTAGAGTACAATGGCTTGGTCTTGGCTTACTGCAACCCTTATCCCCTAAGTTCAAGCTGGGATTACAGGCACCTGCCACCAATTTTTGTATTTTTAGTAGAAATGGGTTTCAGCATGTTAGCCCAGCCAGGCTGGTCTCAAACTCCTGACCTCAGGTGATCCACCCACCTCAGCCTCCCAAAGTGCTGAAATTACAAGAGTGAGCCACCGTGCCTGGCCTCTGTACCCTTTCCTGACTCAAAAAACTTCAGTGGTTTGACACTGCCAGGAATTTCTGATTCTTTTTTGAGATGGAGTTTCGCTCTTGTTACCCAGGCTGGAGTGCAATGGCGCAATCTCAGCTCACCGAAATGTCTGCTTCCTGGGTTCAGGCAATTCTCCTGCCTCAGCCTCCTGAGTAGCTGGGATTACAGGCACGCGCCATCATGCCCAGCTAATTTTTTGTATTTTTAGTAGAGACGGGGTATCACCATATTGACCAGGATGGTCTTGATCTCTTGACCTCGTGATCCACCCGCCTCGGCCTCCCAAAGTACTGGGATTACAGGCTTGAGCCACCGCGCCTGGCCGAATTTCCGATTCTTTAGCTTGACTCCAAGGTTCTCCCCAACAAGGAATCAAACCACTGTTCTCACTATTTACCCATATTGCTCCTACAATTCCTGCCAGATGGGACCACTGATTCCTTCCTGAACATGCAATGAACAGTCACCTCCTGCATGTTAGTGCCCTACAAGGCAAGTACCATGTGCATACCTCTCCGTGTCCAGAAATTCTAGCCATTTCTATAAACCAAACCCCTTTTCAGATGCTCCATGAAACCCTGCTGACCACACTGGCCCTTCTTATTTTATTTTGTTTGTGGCAGAGTCTCACTTTGTCACCCAGGCTGGAGTGCAATGGTTCGATCTTGGCTCATTGCAACCTCCACCTCCTGAGTTCAAATGATTCTCCTGCCTCAGCCTCCCGAGTAGCTGGGACTACAGGCGCATGCCACCAAACCCGGCTAATCTTTTTTTTTTCAGTAGAGATAGGGTTTCACTGTGTTAGCCAGGATGGTCTTGATCTCCTGACCTTGTGATTCGCCCACCACGGCCTCCCAAAGGGCTGGGATTACAGGCGTGAGTCAATGTCCCTGGCCACACTGGCCCTTCTAAAGGCTCTATAGCACTTACAACAATCACACATACACACACACACCCTTTTACTGACAGTCCTCTTCTGACATCAGATTGATAATTATTGACAAACAACTGCATATGAGGCACTAAGTATGCAGAATACAGAAGGTGTGTAATAGAAGGACTGTGTCCTCCAGAAGGAGCTGGTATCAGTAGTGGTTAAAAACAAAGGTTCCGGCAGGGTGTGGTGGCTCACGCCTGCAATCCCAGCACTTTGAGAGGCCAAGGCAGGTGGATCATAAGGTCGGGAGTTCCAGACCAGTCTGGCCAACACAGTGAAACTCCTTTTCTACTAAAAATACAAAAATTAGTCCAGTGTGGTGGTGCACACCTGTAGTCCCAGCTACTCAGGAGGCTGAGGAAGGAGAATCACTTGAACCTGGGAGGCGGAGATTACAGTGAGTAGAGACCGTGCCACTGCACTCCAGCCTGGGCAACAGAGTGAGACCATGTCTCAAAAAAAAAAAAAAGGCTGGGCACAGTAGCTCACACCTGTAATCCCAACACTTTGGGAAGCCGAGGTGTGTGGATCACCTGAGGTCAGGAGTTCAAGACTACCCTGGCCAAAAAGGTGAAACCTCATCTCTTAAAAAAAAATAGATCAGGCATGGTGGCTCCTGCTTGTAATACCAGCACTTTGGGAGGCCAACATGGATCACCTGCGGTCAGGAGTTGGAGACCAGCCTGACCAACATGGTGAAACCTCATCTCTACTAAAAAATATAAAAATTAGCCAGGCGTGGTGGCACACGCCTGTAATCCCAGATACTTGGGAGGCTGAGATAGGAGAATCACTTGAATCTGGGAGATGGAGGTTGCAGTGACCCAAGATCGTGCCATTGCACTCCAGCCTGGGAAAAAGAGTGAGACTCCATCTCAAAAAAAAAAAAAAAAAAAAAAAAAAAGGCTCCAGAGTAAGTTACATAAACCATGGGGTAAATCAGTTTCCTCTCAATAACATGGGAGCAATAACAGGGCCTGCTCTATAGCATCCTTAGAGGATTAAATGAGACAAGGCAGGCCAAGTGTTTAGCACAGTGCTCAGTATGTAAGGAATACTTTCTTGGCAGTAGCTTTTGTTTTTACCCAGGTGGCTATGCCATGGAGAAGAGGGCTCCTATCCATGACCTTTTTTTTTTTTTTTTTTTTGAGATGGAGTCTTACTCTGTCACCCAGGCTGGAATGCAGTGGTGCGATCTGAGCTCACTGCAGCCTCCACCTCCCAGGCTCAAACAATTCTTCTGCCTCAGCCTCCTGAGTAGCTGGGATTACAGGCATGCATCACCATGCCTGGCTGATTTTTTGTATTTTTAGTAGAGATGGGGTTTCACCATGTTGGCCAGGCTGGTCTTGAACTCCTGACCTCAGGTGATCCACCCGCCTCGGACTTCCAAAGTGTTGGGGTTACAGGCATGAGCCACTGCGCCCAGCCAAGATCCATGTCTTTATACCTCTCCTATGATCCCCAAAGAGTGGACCTCTGCGTAGGAGTGTTGACAGATAGAGAGAGACCCCCCACTCACCCTCCTCCAGCCCACTAGGTCTTGCTGGGCCCCAACCCCAGCCTCCCTAGAAAACCTCATTTGTATTCCACCGTAGCCTCTCTGGAGGCAGCAGCGGGCAGCGAGGAAGACACTCCAGCAGCTTCTTGGGGAGAAAGATCTTCAGGTGGTGGCTGTTTTCTAAAGGGAATTAGAAGGGAGGGCTTAGTGTGCCACCCTGGGGCATCCCTGTGACAACCTTGGGGGAAAGGGCTGAAGGTGACACAGAGCACTGGGGAAAACGAAACCTTGCTAAGGAGAACAGGGAATCCAAGAATTAGAGGGCTACTAAAGCATGGGGAGGACGAAAGGCTGTGACCCAATTGGAAATCTGGTTTGTGAACTTACCAGCAACCTCAGTGGTGTCCTTGGTATTCATGGTGAGGGCTCCAAGGGGCAAGGTCACCCCCGGCCTGAGGGGCCGGGGGGAGGGGGAGTCTGTGCTGGGAAGGGAGAGAACAAGGTCATGGTAGAAGCCCCCACATTAATCCTGGATGAGATGTATGAGGTGGGGAATGAATATAGAACTGGGTCATGGTATCTGGGAAGGATGAGGAAAGAGAGGAAGGGACTAACTATGATGTGACAGTATAAGGGAGAACCAGACACAGTGCTCGGAGCCAACATGAGTGAGGATACAGGACAGAAAGAGTGACCAGGTAGAAATGGGTTGGGGTGGGGGAGGGGAGAAGACTGGCAGGGCTGGGGCCTCAGAGGCCCTAAAGCTTGAGCTTTTGCACAGACTGGGGCTACGGTTGGGTTAGGTCTTAGGGATTGAGACTCAGGCCATCCAGTCCTTGGAGGATGGTTTGGCAAGACAGCCTGGATCCTGGAGGCAGGGCAGGAGATTCTACCTCCGGTAGAGAGCTAGGCCTTTAGAAGACACACCCTGAGTTCCTTTTCTGTTTGATTTTTCCAAGAGTAAGGGCTGATCTGATAACTGAGCCTAACCTATTTTCTCCTCCAGGTTAATTAAAACCTCGTAGAATCTGGGCCAGACACCCAGCTTCCCACCCTCAGGACAATCAGCCCTCCGGCTGACAGCCCTCTCTACCTCCCTCTCCCCAAACGCCTCTGCCTCCCCTGGCCTCCAGGCCTAGCCTACCCCATCTACAGCACTGGTTCCAGCCTGAGCCCTCCGCCCTCCTGGGGGAACAGATGGGAGCTGGAGGAGTCTCTCAGCACCGGCTCCGCCAGGTGTCCAGGATGGAGAGGGGAGGCGGCCCGTCGGGCTCAACTGTGTGCAGTGAAGCTGGGGTTGGGGTAAGGACTCCGCCCCAGGGCGCAGGTGCGCAGTCCGAGCTAGGCAGCCTGCCAGGGTGCGGAGCGGGAGCGGGTCCTTGGGCTGCAGGCCTTGGGGCAGCGCCGGATCGGACGCTTGGCACTCTGGGCGGCCCCCCGGCGGGGTGGTGGTCCCAGGAGAACCTCCGAGGTGGGAGGGTCCCGCCCGCACAGAGGGATGTTCTGCGAAGAGTCCGCGGGCACGGAGTGGGCGAGGGACAGTGCGGGTGCCGGGTGCGGGGGTCCCCGGGACAGCCCGGCACGCGCGGGTTCGCCGTGGGGCCCTGCGGGGAGCGGCGCCCCCTGGCGCGGGGGAGGAGGACGGAAGCGGGAGGTAAGGGCGAACCGAGAGTAGGGACGGTGGTCCCAGGCGCGGCGCTCCGCGTTGGGACCTGAGGGAGCTGCGCCCCCTGGCGCGGGGGCGGAGAGACGGGCAAGAGGCCCTGGCTCTTACCTCCAGGGGTCCCGCGGGTGACGGCGGCAGCGGCCATTCTACCCCACACCGACCCCCCCCAGCGGCGGCTGACAGCGGCGTCCGACGTCACTGCGCACGGGGCGGGGCCTCCCAATTAAGGGGATGGGGTCAGGAAGGGAACCTGGGGTCAGCACACGTGGGGTTCTGGGTGGGGCGCTGGGCAGAGGGACTCGGCTTCTAGGGCTCTGAGCCAGGCCGAGGGACAGACTGCTGGGAAGTCCCCAAAAGGGCAGCAACGCTGAGGGCTAGGATTCCAGGGTCCTGGAGGCGGAAGCTCGGCAGTCTGATGCCCCATCCTAGAGAATGAAACGGGCGGCGGTCCAGTGCTGGAACCCTACGGGCTGGGCGAGGAACGCTGGACGGGGATCAGGACCCTTCTCGCCTCGGACAAGACTCCTTGAATTTGGGGACCCAGCCCGACTTCACTGTAGTTGGGTCCTCGAAAAAGTGAAAGGAACCCTCCTCAATTGGCCTCTCCATCACTGCTTCCCAGGAAGAAAGATGACTCGGGCTTCACTTGCTTGCTTTTTAATAACAGAGCAGAGAGAACACAAGGCCAGGAGCGGGGCCTAGAGGAAAACAGGACTTGGGGGTGCTCTTGTGAGAGCGGTGGGTTGAGATGGGAGCCCGGGGTGGGGGGCAGGCTGTTAATGCCTAGTTCAGAGAATGGGAAAGGCAGTTGGAGAGGCTAAGGAAGGGGAAACACCTTCATGTCAGCAATGGGGTTGATTCTAGTGTCAAACTAGTCTTGGGTCCCTGAGGCACCACTATCATCTTGGCATCAGATCTCCTTACTCTTCAGACTCCAACTCCATCCCCCCAGGGATTGTGCAGGAGGTTCCTCCTGGCTGTGACAGTGCTGAAGGAGGCCAGAGAGCGTGGCTGCCTGAAGGCACAAGCCTCCTCCTGACCCAGGGGACTCCAGGGAGACCAAAGCAGCTGTAAAGATGAGAGAAATTGAAAAAGAGAATGGAAAAGTAGGTCTTTCTCCAGATTTCCTAGTCCCCAAGCTTAGGTACCTCCAAGTCTCTGGCTCTCACCTATGTTGTTTTTGTTCCTCTCAAATCCAGCTATCTAACCTGGCTCTCCACTTCTGCTGCCTCTCCATGCAAGATCAGAGGCCCTCATAATTCCCTCTCACTCCATCCAGTTCCACTCCAACCATACCTGGGCTTTGCCAGGAGTGGGAAAACGGTTCTCTTCCTGTGGATAGGTTGCCCTCTCCTCTTGTAGATCAGGGTATTCATTGGTGCTGGGGAATCCACAGCCCTCTTTTCCAAGCACCACTGGCTCAGATGCAGCCCCAGAGCTACCCCACTGGGCCTTCTTCAGTCTGTGGAGACTTTAGGCTGAGGAGAGAGGAGCCTGGAGGCCAGGCTTCCTGTCTCTCCATTCTTCGCTTTTCTGTTCTGAAATAATTCTTGCTGAAACTCAAGCGTTTGTCATTTGACCTCTAACTCTTCCCCTCCCAAATTTTCTGCTCCCCTCAGAACTGAAGCATTTTTGTCTAGGAACCCAGAGGTGACCCCAACCTCCCCACTGTCATCCAGTTCTATGGTTTGCTTTCCTGTCTTCAGTGATCCAGTTTCTAATCCTTCCAGCTCATGTGGCTCATCCTCCATATCGAAGTTCCCTCTCTTTCCATATTACAGAAATCTGTTTCAATCACACCAAAGCCCACTGCTCCCTCCCAAGCAATGTCCAGTCCCCTCAAAGCTCTCAACCCCTTCCTTAGCTCAAACTGTTCTGCCCCCAAACCCTGCGTGACTACCAGAACACAGATGTCTCCCTTCCTTACTCATTGATGATGCTCTGACGCCTTCTTAGGTCCTCCAGGTGGCAAGTGACAGCCCTCACCCGGGCGGGGACCCCCCCAAATCCCTGCTGCATTCCTTCCAAACACAGCCTCCTCTTCTTTCTTCTGCAAAGCATCTCAGGGGGTGGGAGCTGCTCAGGAGGGTACAGACCAAGCTGGGAGCAACGAGTGGTTCTCTGTGCCAGAGAATGGGGAAAAAGAGCTAGAGAAAAGAACTGGCTCTCTCAGGGGAGCTTGAGTTGAACTAGGTAGGGAGTCTGGGGATCTTGGGAAGATTCCTGTGATCTGGAAAACATGATGACTGATTCATAGAAAGGAAGGCCTGGTCAGTGCACTGGTTGGGGAATAACAGAAGGACACAGTAATAAGGAGAGTTTGGGACAGGATAGCAGTGGGTGCAGTTTTAACAGAGAAGTGTTGAGGGGCACACGGTCTGTCTTACCAGCTTGGGTGGAATGTGCTGTTCCTCCATCCAGCTGGGGCTGTGAAGAACAAAAAGGGAGCTATAAGTGCAGAGGGGATACGTCCAACCAAATTGCTTCTTTAATGATCTTTCCCAACCTCCTTTCTGTCATTAGGAGCTATAATGTCCATCAGCCAGTGGGAATTAACCCCAGACTAGGACTTATTGCTATATGAATTTGTGGTAGTTTAAAATTGTACAGCCTCAACTTCCCACATCCAATATACTCCATTTTCTTCTCTACTCACCTGGGCCTTTGACTGAGGTTCTTCCAGAAGACGTCTCCATAACGCTGGGGCATTGGTCTGAGGCTCTGGGAAGGCAACCTGGGGGGTGGAGATCGGCTGACCACCCTGGAACACCTGAGGTGAGGACAAGATAGGCTTGGGTCTGGCTCTTCCCTTACAGCAATCTACTTACCCCAGGGATTCAGGGGCCATCTTTCCATGGAACTATAATGCTGCCTGGGTTCCCTCAGGCCATGTCTTCTCCTAACCCCTTTAGCTGAGGAAGGTGGGTAAGTCCTCTGCTTTGAAAGGAAATTGAAGCTGGGTTGAGGGCAGAGATTGGCTATGGTTTGAGCCTCAAATCTCACTGAGTCTAAGCTCTATACCAGGGGTATCCAATCATTTGGCTTCCTGGGCCACACTGGAATAAGAATTGTCTTGGGCTCCACATAAAATACACTAACACTGGCTGGGTGCAGTGGCTCATGTCTGTAATCCCAGCACTTTGAAAGGCTGAGGTGGGCAGGTCAATTGAGGTCTGGAGTTCGAGACCAGCCTGGCCAACAGGGTGAAACCCTGTCTCTACTAAAAATACAAAAACATAGCTGGGCATGGTGTTGGGTGCCTGTAATCCCAGCTACTCCGGAGGCTGAGGCAGGAGAATCCCTTGAACCCAAGGGGCAGAGGTTGCACTGAGCTGAGATCGCACCATTGCACTCCAGCTTGGGCAGAAAGAGCAAAATGCTGTCTAAAAACAAACAAACCAAAAAAAACATAACAACACTAATAATGGCTGATAAACTAAAAAAATAAAATCACAAAAAATCTCTCTCTCTTTCTTTTTTTAGTGGAGTTTCGCTCTTTTTGCCCAGACTGGAGTACAATGGTGAAATCTCTGTTTACTGCAACCTCTGCCTCCCAGGTTTAAGCGATTTTTCTGCCTCAGCCTCCCAAATAGCTGGGATTACAGGTGTGCACTAGCACACTTGGCCAATTTTGTATTTTTAGTAGAGATGGGGTTTCACCATGTTGGCCAAGCTGGTCTCAAACTCCCAACCTCAGGTGATCCATCCACCTCGGCCTCCCAAAGTGCTGGGATTCAGCTGTGAGCCACCATGACTGGCCTAATCTCATGATGTTTTAAGAACGTTTACGAATTTGTGTTGGACTGCATTCAAAGATGTCCTAGGGTGCAGGTTGGACAAGCTTGCTTTATACCTCATAGTTAGAGAAGGCAATATTTAGCAAGCAGAATTGTTAAAGAGGAAGGCCTTGGCTACTCAGGTGATTTGACAGATAGGGTTCATTTAGTTCAATGCAAGGATCCAGGAGAGAGAATTTCTGTTTACCTCTAGTTTGTCTCCCCTATCTCAGAGGACTAATATCCTTGTAGATAAGGAAAAATGTACAAAGCTGTTTGAGAACAGTGCTCATCAATTCCAAAGCCCAGACTGAATGATTGCCCTCCTGCTCTCTAAGAAATGGAATATCTTAGGGCTTAGGGCTGGGGCCCTTTATCTTCTCTGTTTTCATTTCTTCTTAGGTGATCTTACCCAGTCCCATGCTGCCAATAAGCTAATGACTCCCAAATCTATATATCTAGCCCTGGTTCCTCTCTGGGCTCCACCCAACATCTCCCCAACCTTCCTCCTCTCAATGAAAGGCACCCAAATGCCCAGTTGCTGAGACCAAATAATGTGGTATGTCTCACTTTCCCTCATCTCCCACATCTAATCCATCAGCAGTTCCGTCAGGTCTACGTCTAAAATACTGTGTACCTGAATTTGACCACTTCTTACCATTCCCACTGATACCACTATATTTCAGGTCATCTTCCTCTTCCTGGATGGTTGCAATGGTCTCTTTCCCCTCTCTCAGTTCCATTCCCATCCCCCAACAATTTATTCTGCATAGAACTCTGAGAGTAATCTTTTAAAACATGATCATGTGAAATCATATAAAGTTTGAGGTGTACTTCAAAATAATTTGAGAAGTAGGGGACTACATGGGTATAGAGATGAAAAGATTATCCATATAATGGTAATTATTGAAGCTGACTAAAAAAGGTACATGGGGTTCATGATACTATTTTCTCTGTTTGAAATTTTCCATAATAAAAAAGTTGAAGGAAAAAAGGTTGGTCATGTCACTGTCTGCCTTAAAACTTTTCCACTGATTTTTACTGCCTTTAGGATAAAATCCAAACTGTTTTTTTCTTCTTCTTTTTTGAGACAGTCTCACTCTGTCACCCAGGCTGAAGTGCAATGGCTGGATTAGAGCTCAATGCAGCCTCAAATTCCTGTGTTTAAGCAATCCTCCTGCCTCAGCCTCCTGAGTGCTGGGACTACAGGCATGTGCCACCATGCCTGGCTAATTCTTTTAAATGTTTATCAGAGACGGGGTCTTGTTATGTTGCCCAGGTTGGTCTCCAATTCCTGAGCTCAAGCAATCCTCCCACCTTGGTCTCCCAAAGTGCTGGAATTACAGATGTGAGCCACCAAACCCAGCCTATACTTGTTTTATTTATTTCTTCTCCCCTCCCTTCCCCCACTTCCTTTTTTTTTTTTTTTTTTTTTACTCCATCAGCTCTAGGACCTTTTCTTTATTCCTTTCTCTTTCTCGCCTTCTTTCCCTCCTTTCTTTCTTTTTAGAGGCAGGGTCTTGCTTTGTTGCCCAAGCTGGAATATAGTGCTGTGATCATAGCTTACTGAAGACTGAAACTCTTGGGCTCAAGTAATCCTCCCACCTTGGCCTCCCAAAGTCCTGGGGTTACAAACATGAGCCACCACACTTAGCCTAGTGTTTTTGTTTTTGTTTGAGATGGAGTTTTGCTCTTGTCACCCAGGCTGGAGTGCAATGGTGCAGTCTTGGCTCACTGTACCCTCCGCCTCCCAGGTTCAAGTGATTCTCCTGCCTCAGCCTCCCAAGTAGTGGGGATGACAGGCGCCCACCACCACACCTGTTTAATTTTTGTATTTTTAGTAGAAATGAGGTTTCACCATGTTGTTCAGGCTGGTCTTGAATCCCTGATCTAAGGTAATCTGCCTGCTTCAGCCTCCCAAAGTGCTGGGATTACAGGGGTGAGCCACCACACCCAGACTAGGTTTTTTTTTTTGTTGTTGTTGTTTCTTTGTTTTTTGAGACGAAGTTTCACTCTTGTTGCCCAGGCTGAAGTGCAATGGCATGATCTCGGCTCATAGCAACCTCTGCCTCCCAGGTTTAAGTGATTCTCCTGTCTCAGTCTCCTGAGTAGCTGAGATTACAGGTATGTGCCACCAGGTCCGGCTAATTTTGTAGTTTCAGTAGAGAAACTACTGGTTTCTCCACGTTGGTCAGGCTGGTCTTGAACTGCCACCTCAGGTGATCTGTCCACCTTGGCCTTCCAAAGTGCTAGGACCACACCTGGCCCGGTCTGTTTTTTTTTTTTTTTTTTTTTTTTTTGAGGTTGAGTCTCGTTCTGTCACCCAGGCTGGAGTACAGTGGCACAATCTTGTCTCTCTGCAACCTCTGCCTCCTGGGTTCAAGCAATTCTCCTGTGTCAGCCCCCGAGTAGCTGCAATTATAGGCGAGTGCCACCATGCCTGGCTAATTTTTTTTTTTCTAGGAGAGATGGGGTTTTGCCATGTTGGCCAGGCTGGTCTTGAGCATCTGACCTCAGGTGATCCGCCCACCTTGGCCTCCCAAAGTGCTGGGGTTACAGGAGTGAGCCGCGACACCCGGCCCCCTGTTTTATGTTTTAGGTAGTATTCATCACTAGCTGAAATTATATTTGTTTACACATTCTTTGTTCCCCTTTCTAGAATGTAAGCTCTACAAGAGCAGGGCCCCTATCCTGCTAATAGCTGAATCCCCAGTGCCTAATACAATCCCTAGAACATTGTAGTGTTCAAATTATTTGCTTTGTTTTGTTTGACATGGAGTCTCCCTCTATTAACCAGGCTGGAGTGCAGTGGCACGATCTTAGCTCACTGTAATCACCTCCTGGGTTCAAGCAATTCTCCTGCCTCAGCCTCTCAAGTAACTGGGACTACAGGCGTGTGCCACCATGCCCAGCTAACTTTTCTGTATTTTTAGTAGAGACAGGGTTTCACCATGTTAGCCAGGATGGTCTCAATCTCCTGACATCATGATATGCCCGCCTCTACCTACCAAAGTGCTGGGATTACAGGTGTGAGCCACCTCACCTGGCCTTCAAACTATTTGTTTAATAAATTAATGAATCATAAATCTCCAGAGACCAGGGATTGCAATTCCTGTTCTTTATTTCCTAATCCTTTTAGAGAAGGACCAGGCTTGCAATCTTCCCTCCATCCCATCCCCATGCTGCCCACCCAGTGGGAGGACTCACTTGGCAAAGGGGATGAGGTTGTCTCCATCTTCCTGCACCTGCATCACTGGACTGGGCTGGGTAGCTAGTCTCCTCTTTGGTGCTGGGAGGATAATGGAAAATAAGTCATTCATTCATATAATGGCTATAGGGATGAAACCAGTAGCAGGTCTAGAGATTGAAAAAAGAATGTGTGGATGCTGAAAAAAGAGAGAGCTTAAACGGCATTTGTACCAGCCAGGCGTGGTGGTGGCTCATGCCTGTAATCCTAGCACTTTGGGAGGCTGAGCAGGTGGATCACAAAGTCAGGAGATCAAGACCATCCTGGCCAACATGGTGAAACCCCATCTCTACTAAAAATACAAAAATTAGCTGGGCATAGTGGCACATGCCTGTAATCTCAGCTACTCTCGAGGCTTAGGCAGGAGAGTCACTTGAAGCAGGGAGTCAGAAGTTGCAGTGCGCCGAGATGGCACCACTACACTCCAGCCTGGCAGCAGAGCAGGACTCCATCTCAAAAAAAAAGGTATTTGTAGTGCTAGACTATTAACTGAACATTCACGTTGAAGATAGCACTGGAAAAGTGGATGTGGTAAAAGATAAAGAAGAAAGGAAATCTTCTGAAGTTAAATGTGCAGAATAAGTGAAATTTACAGATGGCAGTTAAGCAACAACTGGCAATATGGGACAATGAAAATGAAAAATGATGACAGTGGAGACTGGATGGGGTGGAGACATTTGGGGGTGGCAAGAGAAGTGGCAGAATTGAGGGTTATCAATGAATCAATTATGAGTGGTTAGTCGAAGTTTAAGTGTGCACCTGGATGCAGTGGCTCACACCTGTAATACCAGAAATTTGAGGGGCCGAATCGTGAGGGTTGCCTGAGCTCAGGAGTTGGAGCCTAGCCTGGGCAACACAGAGAGACGTCGTTTCTGTTAAAAAAAAAAAAAAAGTTAAGCATGGACATAATGGGCAACTGATGACAGGGTGGGAGGGGACAATTGGGAATGCCTATGGATAGGAAGGTGAGCAGGGAGGTCAGTTGCATAGCTAGAATTAGGGACAGCCAAAGATGACCTGAAGGCCAGTTGGGGTGGGGAGAAAAGGCAGTTAAGGCTGGGCACAGTGGCTCACACCTGTAATTCCAGCAATTTGGGAGGTGGAAGTGGGTGGATTGCTTGAGTCCAGGAGTTTGAGACCAGCCTGGGCTACATGGTGAAACCCTCTCTCTACAAAAATATTTTAAAAATTAGCCAGGTGTGGTCGTGTGCACTTGTACTTGGAAGGCTGAGGTGGGAGGATCATCTGAGCCTGGGAGGTCAAGGCTGCAGTAAGCTGAGATGGAACCACTCTGCCCTCCAGCCTGAGTGAGACCCTGTCTCTAAGGAAAAAAAAAAGTGGACTGTAATCCCAGCACTCTGGGAGGCCAAGGCGGACCACTTGAGGTCAGGAATTCGAAACCAGCCTGGCCAACATGGTGAAACCGTCTCTACTAAAAATACAAAAATTAGCCAGGCATGGTGGTGAGCGCCTGTAATCCCACTACTCGGGAAGCTGAGGCAGGAGAATCGCTTGAACCCAGGTGGTGGATGCTGCAGTGAGCTGAGATTCCACCATTCCACTCCAGCCTGGGCGACAGAGCGAGGCTCTGTCTGAGAAAAAAAATAGTAGATCAGTTAGGAGAGTACCTGTAGGCTAGGACAGAAGCAGCTGGTTGGAACTGCAGAGGTGACTCGGATTTATCCTAGGGAACAAAGGATGGGCTGAGAAAGCAGGTGGGGTGAAAAGCAGAGAGAGAAGTATGCGGAACTAAAGCGGCAGACGGGGCTAGCTGGATTTAGGTTGAAAGGGGCTAAAGTGGGGTCTGAAAGGGATGTCCTGACTTCGGAGGGCAGTCAGCAGGACCTGGGGGGCAGCGGGAGCTGCGGGGCATTTGGGCCTCGGATAGTTGGGCCCGAGCGGGTGACCTAGATCGAAGGGCAGGACAGAGCTAAGGAATCCAGGAAGGATCCTCCACAGTTGACCTCAGGGTGGCCCCGGCCTGGGGAGGTGGATGAGGACCCGAGGTTCAGGCTGGGGCTGAGGGGCTGCCTGGAGCCCGGAGCCCCGAGCCCCGCTTGAGGGAAGTGCCGGGCCGAAGGGCGCGGCCTGGGCTTGAAGGAGCGACTGGGACCCTCTGCAGGTGGACCGGACGTGGCCGGACCTTCGGGGCAGTAGAGCCCGAGGGCGAGAGTGGGGACCTGCTTCCCCCTCGAAGAGGGGCCCTGAGGTGGTGGGCCCAGGCTGAGGGGCAGGCTGGGGCCTGAGGGGAGTCCGGGGCCTGAGAGAGCGGCTCCGGCCTGAGGCGGCACAGGGGCCTGAAGGGATTGTTTGGGCCTGAGGCGGCGGCCGTGGCGACGGAACTTAAGGGCCAGGCGGGGACAGAGCGCCCGAGGAGCCGCGTCACGGCTGGCCGCACTTGGCCTCAGCACCTGAAGCAGCTGCGCGGCGAATTCTAGAACTTGGCAGGGCGGGGAGGAGAGAGACTGCGATTAGAGCAGCGGGAGGAGCTGGCAGACGGCGCGCGCCTGAGGGTGGGACTTCAGCGGAGCCACCTTCTGGGCGGGCCTCGGCAGGAGGCTCCGCCCCCTGGCCTTGCCTCCGACGGCGGCGACGTGCGCGGGTCCCGGGACTGCGTCTCCCCCCGTCGGTCAGCCCCTGACTTTTCCCTGTTCCTTAGGCATCCGCAACCCTCCTGTATCGCGGTGTCTGTCCGTCGTTCCGCGTCCGGAGCTCAGTTCCCGCGTCCGCGCTCACTGGGCCCCACAGGCCGGGAGCGTTGCCCCTTTAACAAGAGAAGCCCGGGTCGCTCCCGGCCCCTTCCTGGGATTGCGCGCGCCCGCTCCTCCGCGCGTGCCCGCGCGTCCCCCGCCCCTTGCTCCCGCCCCAGCTCGCGCTGCCCGGGCGGGCGCCGGCCGCTGGCGCCGCTACTGCTGCCGCCCCCGGGGCGCGAGTCCGCCGCCCGCCGCCCGGGGACCCGGCGAGGGGCGGGGGCAGCTCCGAACCGGCCCCGGATCCTCCCCGCTGCCGCCTCACGCTTCCCGGAAAGCTTGCCCCTCTCACTCCGCGGAGCTGCTCCGGGAGCCCCGTCGCGCCGAGGTGAGGGCTGGGGAAGGGGGAGGGAAGGGACGCCCGCGGAGGAATGTGCCGGGTTGGGGGGCGGGGTGCCGGGGTCCGGGTTGCGTTTCCCGGCGGCGCGACCTAGGCTCCAGAGCCGGAATCATGTGCTGTTTGTTCCGCGGAGGCGCAGTGAGGTGCCAGGCCCGGGCGGCTGCCGGCTGGCTGGACAGGAGGACGGGTCCGCATGGCCGCCTGGAGAAACCGGGCGGGGACCTGTGTGAGAACCGCTGGGTGGGTAAGGTGCGGGTGGCCCTAGACCCCCTTTCGGCCCTGTCGGCCCCACCCCAGCCGCCCAGTATCCTTCTTGTAGCCCTCTGCTCCTTCACAGCTGCACCGGCCAACCCTGTCCCTACCTCTATTCCCTTACCCCGCCGGCTCCCAGCCGTGCCACCGATTCTCTGTCCCATTAGCCACAGCAGCGGCGTCACCATTGCTTGTCTCCACCAGTGTACTTCCCTCCCCTGGTCAGGGTTTCGGGGGTCAGGGCTGTTCTTCCTGAGCCAGCTTCTGTGATTCCAGCTACTCCCTTCCTGTCTGGGGACAGACCAGTCCTCTCACCGTTCCATACTCTACCCAGGAAGGCTGGTGAGGGGAGGTCCAGTGTGACAAGAGTTTAGGGCCCACTGGGGCCACAGGAGGGGGCTCAGCATCCCTTATCCTTCTTCATGGTCCTCCTCCCTGCGCTCCGTGGGCGTGGGCTGCTCAACCTCTCCTCCCAGGGTGTGGGCACCCGATCACCCACATTCCTGGGCTCCAGCCTGGCACCTTCCCCAGGACAGTGGACGCCATAGCACTAGCCCCAGGCTGGGACCAGCCGGCTTTCTTTTCTTTTTCTCCCTTTCAGGGAGGCCCTAGGGACCCTCTACCCTCAAAGACAGGTATTTCTGGGTGCCTCAAGGGTGGTGCCCTGAGGGTTGGTCTGATGGATACAGGATGACCCCACCCTCCCCTGCCCATTGTCCTGGATCCTGAGGAGGAAGTGCTGGGGGCTGGGCAAGGGGCTTAGAGCCCACGAAGTAGGCCCTGTGGATCCCAGTCCTGGGTTGTATTTCCAGTCCTTGGACTTTGTCCATCAGCAGTATGGGCCTGGTGTGTGGAGATTGTGGGCCCTAGGTGGGAACTGGATTCTCTCTTGCTGACAGACACTGGGGGGGGAATTTTAGGACAGTTTTTTTTTTTTTTTTTTTTTTGAGACGGAGTCTCCCTCTGTTGCCAGACTGGAGTGCAGTGGCATGATCTTGGCTCATTGCAATCTCTGTCTTCTTGGTTTCAAGCGATTCTCCTGTCTCAGCCTCCCAAGTAGCTGGGACTACAGGCGTGTGCCACCATGCCCAGCTGAGTTGTGTATTTTTAGTAGAGATGGGGTTTCACCACGTTGGCCGGAATGGTCTCGATCTCTTGACCTTGTGATCTGCCCACCTTGGCCTCCCAATGTGCTTGGATTACAGGCCTGGGCCACTGTGCCCGACCCAAAGGACAAGTTTTGCATTTGCATTTTCCTCTCCTCTCATCTCTCTTCTAGGCTCCCAGTTTGTGCTTTGGCCTGAGAGTTCCCTACTCTGCCTCTTTAACACCTTGTGTTTGCTGTCCTCTTGTCTCTTCTTCCTTTCCTCTCCCCTTCTTTCCTTCATAGCATGACTGCAGATTTGCCTTTTGTCTTATTTCTCTTATTTGCTTGCTGTCTGTGACTCTCTGCCCCTGTTCTCTTTCTTACTGCCACCCTTATGTCTCTGCCCATGTGCCCCTCTCTCTGGATTGCCCTTTCTCCAGCCTCTTTCTCTCCCTCCTCTATCTGAATGTTGATTACACTTTTGAGTGACAAGGAATAAAAATATCACCGTCCCTGCCCTTGGATTCACATTGCATTCAGCCACTCCAGAGGGGCAGCTGTCCGTACCTTTCCTACCATTGCCCCCCTACTCGTGGCCCTCCAACCTGGGAACCCCAGACAGGTCCCTGGAGCTGGTGCTTCCTAACAACTCTTCCCTCACAACCAGGGTATCTCCCAGAGCCCCAGCTGGTGTGGCCAGGCCCCAGGAATAGGATGGGGCTCCCCCTACGAGGGCCGGTGGCAGCCAGAACTGATACAGCCCCTTTGGTCTGGGGCCAGGACGCCAGGTAACTCTGGGGAGACGGCCCAGGTCCCGGCAAGCTGGAATATAGCTGGGGAGAAAGGCAGAAATACCTTTGGGAGTCTCTCAAGACAGTGACATTTGGGAGGAAAGCCAGGAGGGTGAGAACTGGGTCCTTGAGAGGCTGGCTCTGGGGAGATGTGAAGAGGCTGGTTCTGGGAAGAAGCTGGGAGACAATGTCTGGGTCCCCCCAGTGGCTCTGTCCGTACCATACCTTTTTTTGTCCTCCAGCTGAGGAGGGCAGGAGTGTCTGGAGCCATGGCTGGTGCCTCAGTGAAAGTGGCCGTGAGGGTTCGGCCCTTTAACGCCCGTGAGACCAGCCAGGATGCCAAGTGTGTGGTCAGCATGCAGGGTAACACCACCTGTGAGTGAGTCCCTGGGGCCTGGCTGGGCACAGGCAGGGAAGGCCGAGCCCACCACACAGGCCAGTCCTGCTGGGCCAAACTAGGGGGAGGGCTGTGCTGGGCACAGAGCAGGTGCTAGTCGTAAGGGCAGGGGCTGGGGCAGGCTGCCCTTTCCTGTGTTCCCAGTCCCTGGGAGGGGGAATGTTGGCCTGGAGCCCTCCATTGCCCAATCCAGGGAGGCAGCTCAGTGGGGGCGGGTCCTAGGAAGACAAAATTAGCTTTGGTGGCTGGAGGGGGTGGGGAATATCAAAGGGGAGAGATGAGTCAGGATAGTGGTGGGGAGTGGGATGCTTGGATTCCAGGGGCTGGTGGGGATATGGGCAGGGGCTGGGAGTACTTGACCTTGACTTTGCTTTCTTTACCCTCTCCTACCCCTCAGCCATCATCAATCCTAAACAGAGCAAGGATACCCCCAAAAGCTTCACCTTTGACTACTCCTACTGGTCACACACTTCGGTGAGGTTGTTGGGCTGGCTGAAGAGCAAGGCAGTGAGAGACAGTGGATTTAGGTCCTGGGGAGGGGACATGTTAAGAAATAGGACCTCCAGGGAATTAGTCAGGCTGGATTTCAGGATGATCCTGGGCAGGGGTAGTAGGATCCTTGGGCTATTATTGAGGCCCTGAAGGGGAAGGGAGAATCCCTTGGGGCAATTAGGACTAGCAGGGGCTGGATAGGATCCTCTGGACGATTAGGACAATAATGGGGATGGGAGGGCACACAGGACTTTTGGGGAATCATCAGTGATGGAAGCAAGACCCTTGGGACAGAGACACGAAGAATAAAGTCATCCAGGCTTCCTTCTGTTTTTCTCTGCTGCTGCTTTCTGCTAGGCGGAGGACCCCCAGTTTGCATCTCAGCAACAAGTGTATCGGGACATTGGAGAAGAGATGCTGCTCCATGCTTTTGAAGGCTACAACGTGTGCATCTTTGCCTACGGGCAGACTGGGGCTGGGAAATCCTATACCATGATGGGCCGACAGGAGCCAGGGCAGCAGGGCATCGTGCCCCAGGTACTCTGAGGACCTGGTGGGGCAGCCAGAACAGGAACATCTTTAGCTGCCCCCTGAGGGAGGAAGGACCAGGGTCTGAGGATTATGAAACAGAGACCTGGCTCTGAGGCCATTGGTGAAAGCAATGTAATGGGAGATAGAGGCTGATTGCAAGCTGGACAACCCTTTGGGATGGAGGGGTCTTTGCCCCATGAGAGACATCAAGCCTCAGTGAGAAGAATAAGGCTTTGGCAACAGTTTTACCACTTACCACTGTTTTACTTAGTTTCATGATAATTTGTGAGTGTGGTTATCATACAGGCTTGTGTACCACCGGCAGGGTGTTAACTGTATAAACGCCGGTGGGGATAACAGAGTTAACTACAGTTGTCCTGGGCTGTGCAGCATAGTGACCTGGCACATAGGCTTGGGAGTCAGGATGCCTGGGGTTTGCGCTCTGGCTGGCTGAGTGCTAGCCTGTGATCTTGGGCAAGTGGGAACCTTTCTGAGGTTGTTTTCCCATCTGTAAAATCGGAATAACCCCTCCCTCAGGGCTGTGGCAAGGGTTCAGTGGGTTCACTTGGGACTGGGCTTGGCCTGTGGCTGGACACTTCAGGTATGCCTTGAACAGGAGTGTCTCTGTTTCTCTGTGTCTCTCTCTAGCTCTGTGAGGACCTCTTCTCTCGCGTTAGTGAGAACCAGAGTGCTCAGCTATCCTACTCTGTGGAGGTAAGCCCAGGTCTCGGTGGCAGTGCTGAGAGGGGATCCAGACTGCTGAGGACAGTTGCTAGAATCAGATAGCCTGTGATCTAATCCTGTCTGATGGTTACTAACTGTGACTTTGGGCAGTGATTGTGTCCTTCAGCTTCGTGTGTTCATCTGTGAGATGCTAATGATCGGACCTACCTCCTGGCTTGTTGCGCAGGCCACTGAGCCAGCATCTTCAAAATGTTTCGCACCATGTATTAGCTGCAGTCACCGGATCATGTCCAGTGGATTCAGATCAAGTTTCATTGTCAGTGTTGTTGCTAGTTTTGTTACTTCTAATTTGCTTCTCCCACTCAGGTGAGCTATATGGAGATCTATTGTGAGCGGGTACGAGACCTCTTGAACCCCAAGAGTCGGGGTTCTCTGCGGGTCCGGGAGCACCCCATCCTGGGCCCCTACGTGCAGGACCTGTCCAAATTGGCTGTGACCTCCTATGCGGACATTGCTGACCTCATGGACTGTGGAAATAAAGCACGGTGAGGCAGGCTGACAGAACAGAGGGTAAGGGAGCCAAAGCTGGGAAGGTGAGAGGCAGAATCCAGTGACAGCTCCCTTTGCCCCCAAGGACTGTGGCTGCCACCAACATGAATGAGACCAGCAGCCGTTCCCATGCTGTCTTCACCATTGTCTTCACACAGCGCTGCCATGACCAGCTTAGTGGGCTGGACTCGGAGAAGGTGGGACCCCCACAACCTCCCCTGGCAACAGGAACAGTGACATAGTAGAAGAGTCTTGGGCTCTCTCTGCCAATGCTGGGTTGAGTGCCTCCTTAAGACTTCCATGACCGCCCCCTACCCAGATTAATCTGCCCCCCTCTGCTACTGTTTACTTGTTTGGTTTGTCCTTCTTTTTTTTTTTTTTTTTTTTTGAGATGGTGTCTCGCTCTGTCACCCAGGCTGGAGTGCAGCGGTGTGATCTTGGCTTACTGCAACCTCCACCTCCCAAGTTCAAGCGATTATCCTGCCTCAGCCTCCCAAGTAGCTGGGATTACAGGCACATGCCACCACGCCCAGCTAATTTTTTTGTATTTTTAGTAGAGATGGGGTTTCACTCTGTTAGCCAGGATGGCCTTGATCTCCTGACCTCATAATCTTCCTGCCTTGGCCTCCCAAAGTGCTGGGATTACAGGCGTGAGCCACCGCATCCAGCCATTTTTGTTTTTGTTTTTTTTAGACAGAGTCTTGCTCTTTTCCAGGCTGGAATTAAGTGGTGCAATCTTGGCTTACTGCATCCTCCACCTTCTGGGTTCAAGTGATTCTCCAGCCTCAGCCTCCTGAGTAGCTGGGATTACAGGCATGTGCCACTAGGCCCAGCTAGTTTTTTGGTATTTTTAGTAGAGATGGGGTTTCGCCATGTTGGCCAGACTGGTCTCGAACTCCTGACCTCAGGTGATCTACCTGCCTCAGCCTCCCAAGTGCTGGGATTACAGATGTGAGCCACTTAGCCCAGCTGTTCTTTTTACTAGACCCAGGACAGGGCTTGGATCCCCCTGTGTGTCCCTTGTCCCTGCCTACAGTGGACTTGTAGCTATTTGTAATTGAGTGAGTAGTCACCGTCTCACTGTTGTTATGTATTCTATTTCCCCTGGCCTCCTCCCTTGCTCCCTCCTGGCTTTTTCCAGCTGCCCACATTCCCGCTGGGTGATCCCCTGATTTGCCTGTCCCGTCCCTCAACCCCACCTCATCTCCTGCCTGTTTCCTTTGACCTCAGGTCAGTAAGATCAGTTTGGTGGACCTTGCTGGGAGTGAGCGGGCTGACTCCTCAGGGGCCCGGGGCATGCGCCTGAAGGTGAAGGGGCTTCGGAGGGCTGGTTGGTTGGAGGGCATGTTGTGGGCTGTGTGGAGGTCTCCATTCGGAGGAACCTGAGATTCTCACTGGGGAGATAGAAAGGGGAAGTGGATCAGATTGGGAGAGGAGGGCCTCATCCCTACATTCCTCATCCTTTTCTAGGAGGGTGCCAACATCAATAAGTCCCTGACTACTCTGGGAAAGGTGATCTCGGCTCTTGCGGATATGGTGAGACCTGGGTGTTGGGAAGAGAAGGGGCTTGGGAAAAGGGGGGGGTGACTCACCCTAACTTCCTTCCCTCTTTTATCCCTCAGCAATCAAAGAAGCGGAAGTCGGATTTTATTCCCTACAGGGACTCTGTGCTCACCTGGCTGCTCAAGGAAAATTTGGGTGAGGGCCTCTTCCTCTCTCAGCTGACCCTGACACATCCCACAAACCCCTTTGATACATCTGACAGATCCCCTTGCCGTGCCAAGAATCCCAAATCCTGTTGTCTCATTTCTCCCTCTGAAGTGAACATCAGAGGGAACATCCTTTGAAGATTTCCTGATGCTGAGATAAAGGCCCCACCCTCCCTGCCAAGCCTCACTGACTTGGCTACTCATGAACCCTCCCTGATTCCTGATCCCGGATCCCAGATCCCATACTCCATACCCACTGCTGCACTGCTGACTGCATCCCCTTCCCGTGGTTCTGTGACTATCCTGCAGATACCTGGTATCTCCCTGACCTCACTGTCTCCTATAACCAGATGTCACGGTCAATTCCACACTCTTAGCTTCCCTTACCTCAGACCGTGACCCTATCAGACCCTGCCTGAGCAGTGAAGCTGCAGCCCCATGACCCAGTCTGACTTTTTTTAGCCCCTACCTCAGCTAAAGCTTTTCCCTGCATTCCATTCATAGGTGGGAACTCACGCACAGCAATGATTGCAGCCCTGAGCCCTGCTGACATCAATTACGAGGAGACTCTCAGCACTCTCAGGTGGGGCTTCTGGCTCTAGCAGGGATGGGGCAGAACAGGAAAAGTGCCAGGACTTCAGAGGCGAATTGCTTAGGACCCTGCTAGTGAGACAGGGTAGATGTCTGAATCCTGCCACAATATCTTGAGACCTGGGAGAGGGAGAAGGAGAAACAGGCAGCAGACCAAGGGTCCCCTGCAGCCAGGCCTCACCGATCCTTCTCCCTCACCCAGGTATGCTGACCGCACCAAGCAAATCCGCTGCAATGCCATCATCAATGAGGACCCCAATGCCCGGCTAATTAGAGAGCTACAGGAGGAGGTGGCCCGGCTGCGGGAGCTGCTGATGGCTCAGGGACTGTCAGCCTCTGCTCTGGAAGGTAGGGGTTCCAGGGACGGGCAGCTCAAGACGCCCCTTGGCCCATCCCTTCCTTCTCACATGCCTTTGCCAACTTCTGGAACCAGGGAGGGACCATGAGCTATGACTCAGTGACTTGGAAACAGATGTGGAGAGAGGATGTATGTCTTCAGATGTGACAGAGCTGGGAGGGACTAATTCTCTCGGGGAGAGTCAGGATCCAGAGGGACCTGTCAGGCTCCTGGAACTAATAAAATGATAGGTACAGGAAATAGGTACTTATGGGTCAAACAGTAAATTGTTAAGAGGCTAGGCTACTGGCTAACTCTGTTGGCAGACGTTCTTGTAAAATGTCAGAGTCAAAGTGGATGATGGTGTGACAGTTCGCAGTGAAGTGGTTTCTAACATGTTGTACTCCGCCTCACTTATAGGAAACAGTGTCCAAATGAGAGGATGTATAATCCATGCTGACTGGGTTAGGAATGGACCCTGCGTTCAGTCTTGAGATCATCCCATTGAGGATAGTTAGGGTGCTGAGGGGCACAGTGTGGGAAATGTAAGTGGGAAGAGAAGGATAACGTATATAGGATATTTGCCTTCCAACATTTGAGGAGTTGTCTTGAAGAAGAGAAAGCAGTAAGGTCTTTTATCCCAGAGGGCAGAACTAGAAACACTAGTGCACATGATGTGGGGCCTGTTTCAGCTCAGCACAGCTAAGAATTCTTACCTTTCTTTTTATTTTATTGAGACAGAGTCTCACTCTTGTCTCCCTGGTTGGAGTGCAATGATGCAGTCTCATTTCACTGCAACTTCCATCTCATGGGTTCAAATTATTCTGCCTCGACCTCCTGAATAGCTGGGATTACAGGCGCTTGCCACCTCACCTGGCTAATTTTTGTAGTTTTATAGAGACTGGGGTTTCTAGAGACCATGTTGGCTAGGCTGGTCTTGAATTACTAACCTCAGGTGATCTGCCCTCCTTGGCCTCCCAGAGTGCTGGGATTACAGGTGTGAGCTACTGTGTCCAGCCCAGCTAAGTATTTTCTTCCTTTCTTTTTTTTTTGAGACGGAGTCTCACTATGTTGCCCAGGCTGGAGTGCAGTGGCACGATCTCAGCTCACTGCAACCTCCGCCTCCCAGGTTCAAGTGATCCTCCTGCTTCACCCTCCTTAGTAGCTGGGATTACAGGCATGCACAATCATGCCCGGCTAATTTTTGTATTTTTAATAGAGCCTGGGATTTGCCATGTTGGCCAGGCTGGTCTTGAACTCCTACCTCAGGTGTTCCATCCATTTCGGCCTCTCAAAATGCTGGGATTACAGATGTGAACCCTTCTGCGCCCAGCTCCAGCTAAGAATTTTCTGATGGTGCAAGTCATCTAACAGTGGAAAGGACTGGCTGCCTCATTCAGTAATGAGCTCTGCACCCCTGGGGTTCAAGCAGAGAGACTGGGTGCCCATTTGTCATGGCTGTGGTAGGAGGGCTCCCTGCCTGGTAGGAGGCTAACCAGCTGTCTTCTGTAGTCCTTACAGACGCGTCCTCTGTGAAGCTCTTGGTCTCCTTGATATCTCTTATCTGCTTTTTCTTTCCTTAACCTCATACTTTTTCCTTTGTCTCCCACCCAGGCCTGAAGACAGAAGGGAGTGTCGGAGGTGCCCTGCCAGCTGTATCGTCTCCCCCCGCTCCAGTGTCACTGTCATCGCCCACCACACATAACGGGGAGCTGGAGCCGTCATTCTCCCCCAATACGGAGCCCCAGATTGGGCCTGAAGAAGCCATGGAGAGGCTGCAGGTGGGAAGCTGGAGCTGGCAAGGGCTAGGGGTCTGGGCGTTGCTGGGAGTTTACTTCTCCAAAGTCAAGCTTGAGAAAGAAGGAATTGTAGGAGTAGAGTGGCCCCAGGGTAGATGCTTCTCCCAGACTATCCTGAAACCTACCCACCCTTTTTCCCCAGGAGACAGAGAAGATTATAGCTGAGCTGAATGAGACATGGGAGGAGAAGCTACGCAAGACAGAAGCCCTGAGGATGGAGAGGTGTGAGGGCCGACAGCTGGGGCCCTGGGAGGAGTTGGGGGCAGCAGTGGAGGTTGGACCCCACAGGGAAGGAGGTCACGGGCAGTGAAAGTAAGACCGACATTTGCCTGTCCTTTGCACACAGAGAAGCGTTGCTGGCTGAGATGGGGGTGGCCGTCCGGGAGGATGGGGGAACTGTGGGCGTCTTCTCTCCAAAGAAGGTGAGTGAGGAATCAAGTGAGGAGGCCTAAAGTGCTCTCTGAATGCTTAGAGAAGAGGTAGCAGGTGCAGGGTAGTGAGTGCTATCTCCGATCTCTCCCTTTGAGGTTCGTGGCTTGTCCCTCCATCATTTCTGTCCCCTCCCCTGCCACCTCCTATCTGTATTGTCTAGTCATCCCTGCCTTCTCCCTCTAGCCACTCCATAGCCTCAGGAGAGAGGGAGAGGACCTGGGAAATTGGAGGTTGGTTGTAATAGACTGAGGCATTGTACATGCCTTTGTCTCATTTGAATTTTATACTCTTTACATGTGCTCAAAAAAATAACTAAAGAAATCTGTTTTTCAGAAGGATAACTTGGGAAGACAAGACTAAAGGGAATAGAGAAAGCATAAGCACTATGCTGTAAGGTAGTGGGTACCAGTACAGCGAGGGGTTGGTTAATAGATGGAGGCACCAGTATGGCCTGGAGCTATGCTGCAGCTGGTTTCCTGGAAAAGGTAGTTTGGAAAGTGGAACCTGAAAGATGGACAGGACTTGCAGGGTATGGAGTAATAGGGACAACATGAGGTTGAACAGCCTGGGGTACATGTTGGTCTTAAGTGGGACACGTCAGTGCCTGACAGGTACTTGCTGCCAGATTTTAGGTGCCTTATAAATCTTTGCTGAAAGGAAGGAAGGAGCAGGGCAGGAGAGGTCAGGCTCAAATGAAGGCAGGAATAATACTCAAAATATGAATAACCAGCCAGCACAGGGACTGACCAATCAGAAAGGACACTGGCTGTAGACAGCCAGCGCCGCTGTACCAGTGCATACCAATGAAGGAATGGGCAGAGGCCAGTTTGAGCAGAGCAGGAACTTCCAGTTCCACCAGGGAACCAGCTCAGCCTGTCTGGACCATGGTGTGAAGCAGCAGAGGATCAGGCCCTAAGTCAGATACACTGTGCTCTGGGCGAGACAGGGTCACTGGGGGCTACCTGGAAGAGGTGATGGGTTACCAGAATGAGGCTCCTCTCTCTTTTGTAAAGTCAGGTTCATCTAGGGGACTAAGCAAGCAGGGATCACTGAATCCCTCTTCTGTAAAGAGAAGGATTTTGCCTTGTCTGGCCCAAGCCACAGCAAGGGAATGAGAGAGCTGTGGGCAGCAGGCCAGGCTGCTTGTCTGGGGTCTTGCCTAGGGCTGGGGACCCTGGGCTTTGGAGCCAGACTCTTCTGGGACCCAGCCACATCTAGGTGGAGAGAGGGGCTACAGATCCTCTCTCAGCATGGCTTCCAGCCACCTTTGTGTACCTGTACCTGGGACGCTTCCACCATGGTTGCAAGGATGGAGAAAAAGCAGAAAGGAGTGTGGAGACTGATGGGGTGGATGTTTCTTCCTTGGAGAGCTTTCAGATATGCCACCTGCCAAAGCCTGGAGACCAAAGGTGGGGGATCTTGTTTTATTATTAATTGTTCTTATAAAGGTAATACACACCAGAGAGAACATTCTAGAGTTCTAAAAGGTGTGTACAGTGAAAAATAAGTCTCTCAGTTTACAGCATTTTGTTAAAGAAAAAAAAAGTAAGTCTCCATCCTTCCCACCCTTTAAGTTCCCCTCTCAGAGGCAGCTTCCATTATGAGTTCTTTTTTTTTTTTTTGAGACGGAGTTTTCGCTCTTGTTACCCAGGCTGGAGTGCAATGGCGCGATCTCGGCTCACCGAAACCTCCGCCTCCCGGATTCAGGCAATTCTCCTGCCTCAGCCTCCTGAGTAGCTGGGATTACAGGCACGCGCCACCATGCCCACCTAATTTATTTTTTTGTATTTTTAGTAGAGACGGGGTTTCACCATGTTGACCAGGATGGTCTCGATCTCTTGACCTCGTGATCCACCCGCCTCGGCCTCCCAAAGTGCTGGGATTACAGGCGTGAGCACTGCGCCCGGCCTATGGGTTCTTAATGTGTTCTCCTAGAGATAGCGTCTAGAAGGTGTTACAATACGTGTTACAGGCATGTGTTACATAGAGCTATACACATTTGCACACATTTACAGCCTCTCTCTCTAATAGTTGTAGTTGCATACCTTATTTTATTTTATTTTTTTGAGAGAGAGTCACATTATGTTGCCCAGGCTAGAGTGCAATGGCACAGTCTCAGCTCAGTGCAAACTCTGCCTCCCAGGTTCAAGTGATTCTCATGCCTCAGCCTCCTGAGTAGCTGGGATTACAGGCACCTGCCACCACACAGGGCTAATTTTTGTATTTTAGTAGAGACAGTGTTTCGCCATGTTGGCCAAGCTGGTCTCAAACTCCTGGCCTCAAATGATGTGCCTGCCTTGGCCTCCCAAAGTGCTAGGATTACAGCTGTGAGCTACAGCGCTTGGCCTGTGTACCTTATTTTAAAGGTTTCTTTATTTTTTTCACAGTGTCAGGGTATTCTGTTGTGTTGATGTAGGATAATTTAAACAGCTTCCCACTGACAGACGTTCAGATTCTTTCCCATTCCTTGAGGATACAAACAAGGCTACCATGCATAGTCTTATAAATGAGTGTTATCTGTAGAGAGATTCCTAGAAGTGGAGATTTTGGGTCAAACGGTAGCCATTTAAAATTTTAATCTATATTGCCAAAGTGCCCTCTGAAGATTATAGCGATACCAGTGTATACTCCCAACGGTAGCATGCAAGAAAGGTTATTTCCCCTCACCCTTTTCCACATTCTGGCTTAATGAGACTTTTATCTTTGCCGGTGTGATTGGTGAGGAAGTGTCTTAGGGTAGTTCACTTTTACATTTTTCTCAGGGTGGTGAGGGTGAACATATTCTCATGTTTAAAAGCCATGTGGTCTGAAGCCAGAGAACTGTTAGATACATGGGGAAATGGGTTTGGTGGGGGTAGCTCCAACAGGGAATGGCTGGGCCCCAGAGGAGAAAACTACAGTTTGCCTTGGAGGGAACCCCCTCTCGCTGGGCCCCCACCACTGGGGCTAAGCACTGCTTAAATGTGGCTCTGAACTTCCTTCTCAGGGTTGAGGGGAGGGACAGGACCAGACCCTGGGTCTCCCACCCCCAGCCTAGGCCTGAGCAGCTCCTTGCTAATCTGCTTGATGCCTTGGGCTTCTAGAGAAGGTTTCGCTTTGAACAAAGAGTTCTAGGGCTGAACAAAAAGTTGAAAAGCACTGCCCTAAATCGTCTTCCCTCTCCCCAGGGATAGATTGCTTTCTGCTTTTGGAGCCCATCAATGTTTGCCAGTCCCAAAGCGGGCCTGACACTATAGTGTAGGGAGGGGCATGGGTGTCCCTCAAGAAAAGTGTTGCAGGAGTGGTCCTTGGAGCACTTGGGTGAGGGGTGGATGCACAGATATACAGATACCCGTGGGGGACACAGCCTTGGGCTCTGACTGTTCAGGTGGCTCCCAGAGAAATAAGGGTTCAGCTATGTGCTGTTTCCCTTCCGTACCCTGTGCTTTTCTGCCTCTGCGCTTCTGTGCAGGCTCCTTTCACCTGGATTGCTCTTCCTGGTGCATGTACACACCCTCCTCATTCTTAAAGGCCAGCTTCCATGTTGCCCTTCCCATTAAGTCCTGATCCCTTTGGAATCCCAGAGTTCTTCACTTTATTTGTCTTTGCCTTTGAGTCCCTCCCAGAACACAGGGGCACTCAACCCCCTGGGAACAAATGAATGAACAAATGAACTTAAGCAAGGGAATGAGAAAATCAGAAACTCCTCTGTGAAGCATCCATTTCCTGCCACACCAAGCCTCACATCCCCTAGCTGACTTTGATTTCCTGACTGATTGGACAGCAGCGCCTGGGCTTGACTCATCTCTAGGCCCCGCCTAGCGCTTCACCAGGGCAAGGTAGAAAGGCCATAGTAAATCCTTCTGGAGCAGAGGCAGGAGGTCTTGTGTTCTGATGGAAGTCTTAGGAAAAATTCCTGGAGGAAGTCACATTTAAGACAGACTGGGAGGAATGGGAAGTGAATGATTTTGGCTGGTCGGGGTGGGGCAGGAGGGGGGCTGTTGTGGGAGCCGTTAGGGATGCAGGAGGCCTGCTTTGGAGTGAGTTACTCAGAGTGCTCAGGGTTACTCTGAGTGGAAGTACAGAGCCTGGGAGAGAGGCCTGGGAGAGGGGCTTAGACAGGTGGACTGGAGCCTGGACACGGAGGAGACCCCAGGGATACCAGGGTAAAAAGCAGGCTCAAGTCCAATGGGCCTGGGGTTCCAGCTGGAGAGGTCTCAGCAAGGATATGGCCATAGCAAGGTGTGGGCAGGAAGCTGGGAGACCCGAGGGGTGGCAGGAAGGCAGGTGGGCCTGGGGCAGGGTGGTGCCCAGGGGTAGATGGGTGTCGAGGGGCAGGCAGCTGGCATGAATGGGGGTACAGAGGCAGCAAGGCCTGTGCACCTCCCAGAGTACTGCTCATGGAGGGCAGGGCTGTTGTAACAGAAACAAGTCAGGAGAAGGGAGTGGGCTGGGTTTTCAGCACAAATCAACATAGCAGGTATTCATGATGGACTTGGTTGGGGACTTCAGGCAGGGACAGCCCCAGGCAGCTGCTGCAGGGACCCAGGCTTGAAGGGAAGGGGTAGTCACTGGGAAAGAGTCAGTGTTGGTTCCATTTGCTTTTAAGTCGAAGTGATACTTTTTATTCTTTAATTGTGAAAGTAATTCATGTGTGTAAGAAATTCAAGGTTGATGAAAGGTGGAGAGTACCAGTGTGCTCACTCAGTCTCCCCGCTTACTCTCCAGAAGCTGCACAGTACATTTTGAGGACAGAAAAGATGGGACCAGGGACAGAGGAATATAGGGAAGAAGAGAATGCAGGGGTGTCTGGGGCTTTTGGTCAGGGAGCCTGGCAGGTCAAAGTGCTTCTGAAGAGAGAGGCCTTGGGAAGGGTTGCTAACCTGGACGTAGCTGGATGGGTGGGGCAATTTTTGTAGGCCCCTAGTGTGAAGAGAGGGTGGACCAGGCTGCCCCAAAGGCAGTTGGTGTGAGAAGTGGGAACCAAAGAACCTAAGATGATCCTCAGGGTGGAGGGATGATGATGGGAGGAGTACAGAGGGCATGAGAGCTCTCCAGAGTGAGGGGGCGCAGCTGGCAGTGCCAGACCTGGAGGGGTGTCTCCTCCCACCCCTTCGTTCCTTCCTTTCCGTGGCACCCCTGGATGGCTCCCCTGATCATCCTTCTCTCCCTCCTTAGACTCCCCACTTGGTGAACCTGAATGAAGACCCTCTGATGTCTGAGTGTCTGCTCTACCACATCAAAGATGGCATCACCAGGTAGCGTGTAGCCAGCAGGGGTGGCCTCTGCTTTTGGGGTGCGACTGCAGAGATTGGCCACATTCCCTGGGGGTCCCTGGAGACACCTCAGATCTCTCTAAACAGCCACGTCTTCAGCCCTGCATGCTCTTCCAGCTTCAAGAGAAGTTGCTGAGCCTTCCTCCTCAGTGGCTGTCTCGCCTTCATCTGCCAGTTTGGTTAGGGTGAGAGATCTTTGTTTACTGGGGCAGGAGAGTTAGGAAATGTAGACCCCCACATTCTTAGCCCTTGATGCCAATGCCTTGGCATCCCTTGATGGGGCCTTCCCTGGCCTGGTCTGTGCTGTTGAGGGCTGGGCAGCTAAGGGCAAGTGGCTCCTTGTGCTGGTATTAACAAGTCCTGGGGGCTTGATGCCTCCCTTAAAGGGGTGAGGGTGCCCTTTCCCTCCCACTATGGGCATTTGTGGCTATCTTTGATAATCATCTTGGATAGGGAGTGAACTCTCAGGATCATCAGCCTTAAGGAGGGTGGAGGCCTGTGGCTGAGGGTGCCCATTTCTCCCAGGTTTGCTTTTCCCCTTTGCTGTGTAACATGGTGACTAAGAGCATGGCTTCAGAGTCAGGCACACCTGGACTTAGATCTGAGCTTCACCACTGCCTACCTGAATGACCCTGGGCAAGCCACTTCACTTCCCGGAGCCTCTGCCGGCTTATTGAATTGGATAAACTGGTGTTCAGGAGGGGCTTGGTTAAAGTCTGACACATGCTCAGGAATGTTGGCCATTGCTTCCCCAGGGTCGGCCAGGTAGATATGGACATCAAGCTGACTGGACAGTTCATTCGGGAGCAACACTGTCTGTTCCGGAGCATCCCTCAGCCAGATGGAGAAGGTAATGGCTGAGGGGGTAAGAGAAGCCAGACAGGGAGACAGAGAGGCCCCATGTTCTACCCCAAACACGGAACACAGAGGCCTGGGTTGGGCACTAGGGAGTGCGGTCATATAAAGAGGAGTGGTAGTCTTGTCCTCAGAGGGGCTTCAGGCTCATGAGTATGAATTGAGGAATATCACAGGCCTGGCCCTCTGCACCCACCCTGAGAGGGCAGACTACTGTGTGGTCAGGGACTGGTGAGGGTCCCAAGACAGAAATGGGACACTGGTGAGCCAGAGGATGGGATTTTGCTGAAGAGATCCTGCCCTTCTTGATCTTGTTAGATAAAACTAGCACTCTGTTCCTTTTTAAATGAAAACCTATTCAAATGTATTTGAATATCTGAACTTTCCCTGTAGAAAACCTGCTTCTATCCAGTTATGACTGCAGAGGTTTCTTTTTTTGTTTTTTCTTTTTATTTTATTTATTTATTTATTTTGTTTATTTGTTTGTTTTTCGAGACGAAGTCTTGCTCTGTTACCCAGGCTGGAGTGCAGTGATATGCTCTCGGCTCACCACAACCTCTGCCTCCCTAGTTCAAATGATTCTGCTGCCTCAGCCTCCCAAATAGCTGGGACTACAGGTGCATGCCACCCTGCCCAGCTAATTTTTGTATTTTTAGTAGAGACTGGGTTTTACCATGTTGGCCATCTCCTGACCTTGTGATCCGCCTACCTTGGCCTCCCAAAATGCTGGAATTACAGGTATGAGCCATTGTGTCCAGCTTTTTTTTTTTTTTTTTTCTGAAACAGAATCTCACTTTTGTTGCCCAGGCTGGAGTGCAGTGGCATGATCTCTCCTCACTGTAGCCTCCGCCTCCTGGATTGAAGTGATTCTCCTGCCTCAGCCTCCTGAGTAGCTGGGATTATAAGAGTGTGCCACCATACCTGGCTAATTTTGTATTTTTAGTAGAGTCAGTGTTTCACCATGTTGGCCAGGCTGATCTCAAACTCCCGGCTTCAGGTGATCCGCCCACCTCTGCCTCCCAAAGTGCTAGGACTGCAGGTGTGAGCCACCTCGTGGGGCCGACTGCCAAGGTTTCTGAGAGTTACGGGGCTATGTGCCCCTTTGGTTTGAAACTTTCAGGCTTTAGCCCTTACATGGCCGTAGCAGCAAAAGCTTTTAAGAATCACAAACTCTAAGGGTAAAGTTAGAAGCCTGACATATTAATAAAACAATACTCATGAGGTTCAAGGTGTATTATTATTTATTACTTTTTTGAGATAGGGTCTCACTATGTCACTCAGGCTGGAGTGCAGTGGCATAATCACGGCTCACTGCAGTCTTAATCTCCCAGGCTCAAGTGATCCTCCCACCTCAAGTGATCGTCCCACCTCAGCCTTTCAAGTACCTGGGACCACCGGCGAGCGCCACCATGCCTAATTTTTGTATTTTTTGTAGTGATAGGGTTTCGCCATGGTGTCTGGACTGGTCTCACTCCTGAGCTCAAGTGATCCTCCTGCCTCGGCCTCCCAAAGTGCTGAGATCAGGCGTGAGCCACCATACCCAGCCCATTTCTTAATTAATAGTAGTAGTATTGTGGGGCTTTTTTTTTTTTTTTTTTTTTTTTTTTTTGAGACAGAGTTTCACTCTGTCCCCCAGGCTAGAGTGTGGTGGCACAATTTCGGCTCACTGCAACCTCCACCTCCTGGGTTCAAGCAATTCTCCTGTCTCAGCCTCCCAGATAGCTGGGATTACAGGTGTGTGCTACCACGGCCAGCTAATTTTTGTATTTTTAGTCGGGACAGGGTTTCACCATGTTGGTCAGGCTTGTCTTGAACTCCTGACCTCGTGATCTGCTCACCATGGCCCCCCAAAGTGCTGGGATTACAGATGTGAGCCACCACGCCCAGCCATTTTTTTTATTTTTAAATTTTTATTTAAAAAAAAAGAGCAACAGTATCTCACTGTGTGTTCCAGGCTGGTCTCGCAACCCCTGGCCTCAAGTGATCCTCTTGCCTCAGATTTCTAACGTGTTGGGATTACAAGTGTGGGCCACTGCACCTGCCGAGGTGTATTTTTGAGGTCACCAGTTTGTTTTAGTTCTGACACTTTAAAAAAAATAGAATGATTTGGGTTCACATAAGCTCAATGAAGTCACACTCTGTGAAAATGAGTTGGGCAGGGAGGCAGGACGTGGTACACATATGCTGTCTGTCAACTTGGACCTGGTGTATGCATTGAGAGACCTAGAAGTGCTTAGTTTAACACCTTCCAGGGGACAAGGGACCTGGGGCGGGTATGGTCAACACATTTTTTTTTTTTTGAGATGGAGTTTTGCTTTTGTTGCCCAGGCTGGAGTGCAATGGCGTGATCTCAGCTCACTGCAACCTCCGCCTCCCAGGTTCAAGCAATTCTCCTGCCTCAGCCTCCCTGGTAGTTGGGATTACAGGCACACACCACCACATCTGGCTAATTTTTGTATTTTTAGCAGAGATGGGATTTCACCACATTGGCCAGACTAGTCTCAACAGAGTGAGACTCTGTCTCCAAAAAAAGGAAAAAAAAAGACAAACCTTTTGGGTTTCCATTTGGTTCAGGGACAGCAGATTTAGGTAGTTGTTCTGGTCTGGTTCAGGTCCTCAGTGGCAGCAAATGTTTCCGGCATTTTGGGTTGAAAGCTCTTGAATCAGTTCAGCCCCATGAGTTATTGCCAAGTTCCTGTGGCAAGTTCCCGTGCGGCTACCTTAAGCCATTTGCTGGGAGAGATATGAAAACCATACAAGTCGCCAAAAATACACCTCAGCAGAGTGAGCCCAACAGCAAGAAGCTCAGATTGTGGGGAGATGACACGTGTGCAAGACTGTGACATAAATCACAGTAAAGGCAGCCAATGTTTCTGTGTTGCAAAGGATGGGGATTGTGATGGTTTAGTCCCTGTGGGTCTCGGTTCTTAACAGCAGATTTAAGACCCAGCCAGAGGTTGGGCTGTACACCTTTATTCCCAGCACTTTGGGAGGCTGAGGCGGGCAGATCACCAGGTCAGGAGTTCGAGACCAGCCTGGCTAACATGGTGAAACCCCATGTTAAAAAAAACCCCTACTTAAAGGTACAAAAATTAGCTGGGCATGGTGGCACACATCTGTAATCCCAGCTACTCAGGAGGAGGCTGAGGCAGGAGAATCTCTTTCTTTTTTTTTTTTTTTTTTTGAGACAGTCTCACTCTTCACCAGGCTGGAGTGCAGTGGCACAATCTCGGCTTACTGCAACCTCTGCCTCCCGGGTTCAAGCAATTCTCCTGTCTCCAACCTGGGCAACAAGAGCGAGACTCCATCTCAAAGTAAATAGATAAATAAATTGCATCCGTCGCAATGAAATGCTTTTGATTATCTTGTTTATTGTCTGTCTTAACAGCGAGAAGTAAGCTCTATAAGAGCAGGGATGTTTTGTTTTATATCACCACTGTATTTCTAAGGCCTAATAAAATAGTGTCTGGAAGGTAGTAGGACTGTGATATATTTGGCTTTGAATCAATAGATGAATTTTGGGTCATGGTGGGAAATGAAGTAAAGGTGGGGGTAGACGGCACCCCCTCTACACACTCCACATCCCTTCTTGCTATCCACTTCTGCTGCTGCTCTTCCCTGACTCCCGTGATGCCCTTGGCTGTCTCTGCCCATTCTCTTCTGAGTCTCCCATTGCATTGGCTTGTTTCCCTTCCTCTGACCCTAAGCTGAGTCCTCTGCTCTCCTTGTTCTCCCAGCAGCATCATTTGTTCCTGTCCTTGTCTGATGTTATAGTTCATCTCAGTCTCTCTGTTTCTCTATTACTTTTAGTATAAATATTATAATAATAAACTCATGTTTGCATATTATTTTATGGTTTACTTATTTGGGTCTTCTAACTACTCTTTAAAGGAAGATTTCATTATCCCATCTTTTTTATTTATTTATTTATTTTTGAGACAGAGTCTTACTCTGTTGCCCCCATTGGAGTGCAGTGGCGTGGTCTTGGCTTACTGCAACCTCTGCTGCTGGGGTTCAAGCGATTCTCCTGCCTCAGCCTCCTGAGTAGCTGGAATTAAAGGCATGCACCACCACACTCAGCTAATATTTGTAGTTTTTAGTAGAGACAGATTTCAACATCTTGGCCAGGCTGGTCTTGAACCCCTAACCTTGTGATCCACCCACCTTGGCCTCCCAAAGTGCTGGGATTATAGGCGTGAGCCACCGCACCGGCCTATCCCATTTTATAGACTGACACAGAAGTTAAATTGACTTGTTCAGCATCCCTGGCTAAGGAGATGCAGAGCCTGGGCCTTTGAGATACCAGGGTTCCTCTGTGGCAATGGCCACTGCTCCTCTAGGGCAGGGAGCTGCCTTGTGCATCTTTGTGTCCCCAGAAACTAGCAGGCTCAGTGATTTGTACGGAGGAGCAGCTTGATGGATGTTTGGGTTGGGTTGACTTTCTCTTGTCATATGTCAGCTGTGGTCTGAGAAGATGAGTCAGATGACAGTTTGCAAGATGCATGAGGCAGAGAGCTGGGCTAGAAGCCTGCTGGAGGAATCCAGGCCCCACCAGGGATAATGTCAGTGGGAAAGGTAGGAATGGATATCTGGAAGGCAGAAATAACAGGGCCTCTCATCAGTTAAACGTGAAGAATGAATCCTTTTGAGAATTACTGGTTTTCTAAGCTGCTGCTGGGGAGGGTAGTGGTGGGTGAGTCAGGAGCCACTGCAGAGGCTTCTGGGAATTGTAGTTGGGGCTCTAACCCTCCTTCTGCTCTTCCTTTCCCGTGCTGCCTGCCACCAGAGGGGCCGTGGTACCCCCCACAGGTACTGGGGGTGGGACTGGTGGTGCATGTGTGGTTTTTCGGGGTAAGGCAAGGTGGGAATCTGTGACTGACCCACCTTCCTCCAAGATCTAATCTTTCCCTTTGTTCTGCCCTTCTGTTCAGTGGTGGTCACTCTGGAGCCTTGTGAAGGAGCTGAGACATATGTGAATGGGAAGCTTGTGACAGAACCGCTGGTGCTGAAGTCAGGTAGATAACGTGTTGCAGAGTGAGGGTTCTGGGGCGTGGCTGTGTGTAGGAAGTCTCAAGGGAGGGCCTTCTGGGTGCATCCTAGAGGAGGACCCTGAAATAAATCAGAAATAGCATGAGGATGTAAAGAAGGAACTGGGAAGTGAAGGTAAAGGAGTCAGGTCTTGGTTTCTCTTACTGCCCCAGGGAACAGGAAGCGGATGCCCAGCTCTCGCAATTCCCTTTCGCTGGCAGGAATGGGGTTGGTCCCTGGATGTCAGCCAGGGGAGCATAGGCTCTGGCTGCCCTCAGACTTGGGGTGATGGAAGAGAGGGTATCACAGCCCCTGGGCCAGATTTTCTATGCCTTGTGTGTAGGGATGGGTTTGTTGTTGGGAAGCGAGTTTACTTTTCCCTCCTCCCATCTCCAGGGAATAGAATTGTGATGGGCAAGAACCACGTTTTCCGCTTCAATCACCCGGAGCAGGCGAGGCTGGAACGGGAACGAGGGGTCCCTCCGCCCCCAGGACCGCCCTCTGAGCCAGTCGACTGGAACTTTGCCCAGAAGGAACTGCTGGAGCAGCAAGGCATCGACATCAAGCTAGAGATGGAGAAGAGGTACGAGGGTTACCCACATCCCCCATGACCCTCTAGGGTGTCCTTCCTGGGCCTCTGCACCCCAGTGTCCTCCTCTTATTAGATACCCCACCGAAGTTGCTCTTCCTTCCCTCCTGGCTCAATCCCAGGCTTCAGGATCTGGAGAATCAGTACCGGAAAGAAAAGGAAGAAGCCGATCTTCTGCTGGAGCAGCAGCGACTGGTGAGGGGAAGCAGGGGCTGGGGGCTGGGCTGACAGGCAGATGAGTAGCAAGCCTGAGTCCGAGTGCAGTGCTCACCGCCTGAGCCAGAGTGGGAAGTGGGCATGGGGATAAGGGGAAGGGTCAGAGAGGAAAAAGCCAGGAGAGAGATGTGACTGCTGGAGGAATCCATTGTGAGGAAGGAAGGAAGATTCCTCCAGTTGACCAGGACTTCCCATACTCTAGTTGATTATGCCAAGTTTTTGATTTTCACCATATCCAAGTATCACCTGTGTTGCTATTAAGATTGTTCTTTCTTTTTTTTGAGACAGAGTCTCGCTTTGTTGCCAGGTGCCAGGCTGGAGTGCAGTGGTGTGATCTTGACTCACTGCAACCTCCACTTCCTGAGTTCAAGCAATTCTCCTGCCTCAGCCTCCCAAGTAGCTGGGACCACAGGTGTGCGCCACCATGCCCAGATAATTTTTGTATTTTTTTAGTAGAGACAGGGTTTCACCATGGTCTCGATCTCTTGACCTCGCCATCTGCCCGCCTCAGCCTCCCAAAGTGCTGGGATTACAGGCTTGAGCCACCATGCCCAGCCTCTTTTTTTTTTTTTTTTTGAGACGGAGTCTCCCTCTGTTGTCCAAGCTGGAAAGCGATGGCATGATCTGTAGCCTCTGTCTCCTGGGTTTAAGCAATTCTTATGCCTCCCCGGTAGCTGGGATTATAGGCGCCTGCCACCACGCCCAGCTAGTTTTTGTATTTTTAGTAGAGACGGGGTTTCACCATGTTGGCCAGGTTGGTCTGGAACTCCTGACCTCAGGTGATCTGCCCCCTTAGCCTCCCAAAGTGCTGGGATTTCAGGCATGAGCCACTGTACCCGGCCAAGATAGTTCTTCAGTCCATTTATGCCAGAGGTTGCGATTTTTAAAATTTTTGTATGAGTTAAAAATCAGACTTTGGTGACCTTGAGCAGTAGGACATAAATAACTCCCACATGCTTAGCGTTCCAATAATGGAACGTGGTGGCAGGCTCCTTAGCGTTCCAATAATGGAACACTAAGCATAAATGGGTAAAATGGACTTTCTGTTTTGTTTTTAAGACAGTATCTTGCTCTGTCACCCTGGCTGGAGTGCAGTGGCCTGATCATAGCTCAATGCAGCCTCAAACTCCTTGGGTTCAAGCAATTCTCCCACCTCAACCTCCTGAGTTGCTGGGATCACAAGTGTGCCTGGCTAAATTTTTTATTTTTTATAGAGACGGGGGCCTCACTACATTGCCCAGGCTGGTCATCAGCTCCTGGGCTCAAGCGATCCTTGTCCTTCCAAAGTCCTGGGATTTCAGGCACAAGCCACCAAACCCTAAATGGTCTTTTAAGTCTTGCACAAAGTTCCACATTGATTAGCTACAGCCAATACTTATGGTAACTTTCTCAGTGCCAGCCATGGTTCTAAATACTCCAAATGCATCTAGGAGGGAGATACCATCATTATCTCTGTTGTCTAGAGGAGCAGAGGTTAAGTAGTCTGCCTGAGGGTGCACTGTTGGGGTGGAGCAGGACTTGAACCCAGGCTCCCTGATGAGTGTTTCCAGTGTCCTTAGGACACACTGGGGCTTTGGATGTCCTTAGCCCTCTCTTCGTCTTTCTCTCTGTGGCTCCAGTATGCAGACTCGGACAGCGGGGATGACTCTGACAAGCGCTCCTGTGAAGAGAGCTGGCGGCTCATCTCCTCCTTGCGGGAGCAGCTGCCACCCACTACGGTCCAGACCATTGTCAAACGCTGTGGTCTGCCCAGCAGTGGCAAGCGTAGGGCCCCTCGCAGGGTTTATCAGATCCCCCAGCGACGGAGGCTTCAGGGCAAAGACCCTCGCTGGGCCACCATGGCTGACCTGAAGATGCAGGCAGTGAAGGAGATCTGCTACGAAGTGGCCTTGGCTGACTTCCGCCACGGGCGGGCTGAGATTGAGGCCCTGGCCGCCCTCAAGATGCGGGAGCTGTGTCGCACCTATGGCAAGCCGGAGGGCCCCGGAGACGCCTGGAGGGCTGTGGCCCGGGATGTCTGGGACACCGTGGGCGAGGAGGAAGGAGGTGGAGCTGGCAGTGGTGGTGGTAGCGAGGAGGGAGCTCGAGGGGCAGAGGTGGAGGACCTCCGGGCCCACATCGACAAGCTGACGGGGATTCTGCAGGAGGTGAAGCTGCAGAACAGCACCAAGGATCGGGAGCTGCAGGCCCTGCGGGACCGCATGCTCCGCATGGAGAGGGTCATCCCCCTGGCCCAGGTAGGCCTGGCGGTGTCTTCTCTCTCCCCTTCTCTCCTCCCTCAGCTCTTTCTCTCCTCCCTCAGCTCTTTCTTTTAGGAGTCTGAACCTCCCATCTCAGAGCCTAACCTCCTTTCCCCTGAGTCTGGAAAAAATTGCATTGAAGTATAGCATAGTTTTTCTCAGTATTGTTTATGAACCACATGCCTCACCACCACCAGGCTACTAATTAAAAATGCAGATTCCTGGGTTCTACCCCAAACCTACTGAATCCACATCTTTGAGGACCATTCTGCATTTATAATAAGCTCCAGGTGTTTCTGAAGTACAGTGAAGTCTAAGACCCACTGATATGAAGTGTACAGTTTTAAGTTAGTGCTTGAAGAATGTCACCCATATGTCTTCTTATCATCACCCCCCTCCCCTCTCACTTCTTGTTGGTCATTTACTCCGTGGAGATGCTGTGCCGCCGAGTGCTTTCTGTGTGTGGTCCTGTTTAATCTTCATAACAGCCCTGTGGGTGGTAGTCTTATCACCTATTCCTGTTTTGCATGTATTTGCTCAACAAATAAATATTTGATTTCCTACTGTGTGCCAGACATTTGTGCAGGCCACTGGGGTTACTTAATCAGCCAACAAAATTTTTGCTGTTCTAGCTTTCTAATGGGGACCAACAGTCAGTCATGGCAACTGAAGGCCACCTGTCTGAATTCAGCTCCTCCATACCACTCCAGCCTCACTGGCTTCCTTGCTGTTCCTTGAACTTGCTGGCCTCAGGACCTTTGCACCTGCTGTTCCCTCTGCCTAGAATGCTTTTCCCTCAAATAACCGTAGAGATTGCCCCTCACTTCAGGTCTTTACTGAAATGATGTCTTCTAATGAATCTTTTGTAGCCACCTCTGAGCTGGTTTTCTCTCTTCCTTTCCTGCTCTGTTCTTCTCCATCTGAAATACTAATTTCTTAGAACAACCCTAAACACCGGGTACTATTATTGATGCCATCTTACAGATGCAGAAACTGAGGCACTGAGAGGTTACAAGCCAAAGACCCGGTCACATAGCTGGGAAGTGGCCAGCCCAGGACTGAGCTCAGCCCTTCTCAAGCCCATGCTCCTATTCCACTACTTTTCTAGCTTCCTTATCTCCAGGCTTTTCTTTAGACCCTTGACATCCAGCCATTCCAGGTCTCTCTTGAATCCACACATCCTCAGGATTCAGCTCTCCTTACGTCCCTTCTTTTCTCTCACTCCTCCCTCCCAGGATCATGAGGATGAGAAGGAAGAAGAAAGTGGTGAGGTCCCCTGGGCCCCACCTGAAGGATCAGAGGCAGCAGAGGAGGCAGCCCCCAGTGACCGCATGCCGTCAGCCCAGCCCCCCTCACCACCACTTTCAAGCTGGGAGCGGGTATCACGGCTCATGGAGGAGGACCCTGCCTTCCGTCGTGGTCGTCTTCGCTGGCTCAAGCAGGAGCAGCTGCGGCTGCAGGGACTGCAGGGCTCTGGGGGCCGGGGTGGGGGGCTGCGCAGACCTCCAGCCCGCTTTGTGCCCCCTCACGACTGCAAGCTGCGCTTCCCCTTCAAGAGCAACCCCCAGCACCGGGAGTTCTGGCCAGGGATGGGGAGTGGGGAGGCTCCAGCTCCACCCCAACCCCCTGAGGAGGTCACTCCCCCTCCAGCCACCCCTGCTCGCAGGCCTCCAAGTCCCCGAAGGTCCCACCATCACCGCAGGAACTCCCTGGACGGCGGGGGCCGATCCCGAGGAGCAGGTTCTGCACAGCCTGAACCCCAGCACTTCCAGCCCAAAAAGCACAACTCTTATCCCCAGCCACCCCAACCCTACCCAGCCCAGCGGCCCCCAGGGCCCCGCTACCCCCCATACACTACTCCCCCACGAATGAGACGGCAGCGCTCTGCCCCTGACCTCAAGGAGAGTGGGGTGGCTGTGTGAGTCCCACATCCTGGGCAGAGGGCCTGGTGGGGCCCCTTGCCAGGAGAAGGGAAGACGCCTGAGTGGCTGCTTCCCCAGAAGTGCTGGGGCAGGGAGGCCCAGAAGATGAGAAAGAAGGTCCGAGTAGGTGATGGAAGACGAGTGGATACTGAGCCGGAGGCTGAGGAAAGGAAGGGGCACGGAGTTGCCAGGAGCAAACCAAAGTGAAGGGAGAGATAGGAAGCTGCCTCGGGGCCACCCCTTGCCAGGGGGTGGGTCCCACAAACGCTGCTATGGGTGGGGTGGGGGGCTGGGGTGCTGCGTAGCCAGTGTTTGACTTTCTTATCAAGTAGGGGAAAGGGGGAGAAGACTGAGAGTGAGGCGAATTCTCCCCAGCCCCTGTCTGTCTGTGGTGGTTTCTGTTTCTAGGGAGGCATGGTAGGATCATAAGTCATTCCCCTTCCCTTCTAGGCCTCCTGCTATATTTGGGGGACCTCACTGGTTTGGCTGGAGTCCCATGAGAATGTGGGCCCTTTAATAAAGGATAGCAAACAGGGAGCCTGTGGCCTGTTTGTTTTGGGTTTTCATGGAGGTGTAGGTTATATAAGGTAATGGCACAGGTATTATGCATACTTACCAGTGAAGGTTTACATGTGTGTGCAATACCACCCAGATCGGGATGTGAGAATGTTTCCATCTTGTCTTCCTGAAATTCGCCCTCCTGTCTCCTTCTCCAGGGTGCACAGCCCAGTCTTTCTTTTTCCCCTACATTTTTTTTGGACAAAATCTTGCTCTCTGGTTGGAGTACAGTGGTGCAGTCATGACTCACTGCGACCTCTGCCTCCTGGGTTCAAGCAATTCTGTCTCAGCCTCCCGAGCAGCTGGGATTGCAGGCATGCACCACCACACCCGGCTCATTTTTGTATTTTTAGTAGAGATGGGGTTTCTCCATGTTGGCCAGGCTGTTCTTGAACTCCTAACAAGTGATCCGCCTGCCTTGGCCTCCTAAAGTGCTGGGATTACAGGTGTGAACCACCATGCCTGGCCTCCCCTGCTTTCATATTTGCTTACCCAGTGTCTCAGTCTGTGCCACTGACACCATCTGTTATGAACAAAGTACCGAAGGGGAATGGGAGGGGAGGTAGAGGGACTGCCAGCCTGTCAGTGCCTAAGTGGCTGTTGCTGACAGATACAGAAGGATTTGTGGGATACAGAGGAGTTCTGCTTTGTTAAGTCACCTGACTTGTTTGAAAGGTCTCCCAAGTAGCCAGTTGCTCCTGATAGTGAATGGGTTGGGCAAGCTTACTGCACCTACCTGATTGTTTTCATCCTGGTTGTGTTATCTGCCTTGTGGCAGGTTACAATTTGTATTAAGACTATTGCCTGCTTGTTTTAATGTTCTGTCTTGAGGCAAGGAGCCCTTGACTATGACATATTGCCAGGATTTTGCAGGTTAGATTGTATTCCTACTCTGTCTTTGGCTTGCCAAAGTCTCGAGGCCCCGCATTTTCATCCTGTTCTCAGGAAAACAATTGCACCCACTTGAAGCTCTGAACTACTGCTTCAGAGCTTCCTGAGGTTAGTCTCCAATTGGAAGCAGCCAAAACCGTAGATATTCAACTACAGCCAAACCATGGCTCTGAGTGAAGGAACAATTAGGTTTACTCTTGGTTTCCACTCTGATGCTGCTACCTGTATTTTGACACCTCTGACTGCCAGGTTTTTATAGACCTGTTGACAGTGACCCAAGATCTGGAATGTAATGGATGGTTTGGCAGCAGTGTTTGCTCAAGCAGTTTATAATCTGGCTGAGGAGACTAAATGAGCAAGAAAATGATAGAATATAAAGGTCTTTGCAGGTCAGAGGGAGCTGAGAGTTACAGAGAAAGCTGTGGGATTCCAGATGGGAAAATAGCTTGCTAGTTTGACAGATTATTTTTTCCCTAAAGACCCTGCCTTATATAAATGTATGTTATCCATGATTTTAAAAGTCCACTTATGGCTGGGCACAGTGGCTCATACCTGTAATCCCAGCACTTTGGGAGGCTGAGGCAGGAGGATCAGTTGAGCCCAGGAGGTTGAGATCAGGTTGGGTAACAGTGAAACTGCATATCTACAAAAAATACAAAGCTAGTCGGGTGTGGTGGTGTGTACCTGTAGTTCTAGCTACAAGGGAGGTGGGAGAATCACCTGAGCCTGTGGAGATTGAGGCTGCAGTGAGCTGGGAAAGTACCAGCACTCCAGCCTGGGAAAGAGTGGGACCCTCTCAAAAAAAAAAATTCCATAAATCCAGCCTTCCACATCAATCTTTAATAATGTGATGGGCCAGGCACAGTAATTCATGCCTGTAATCCCAGCACTTTGGGAGACTAGGTTTAGAGCATCACTTGAGGCCAGGAATTTGAAACCAGCCTGGGCAACATAGTGAGACCCTCATCTCTACAAAAAATAAAAATCAACAGTCCCGGTGGCTCATGCCTGTAATCCCAGCACTTTGAGGCTGAGGTGGGTGGATCATCTGAGGTCAAGAGTTCAAGACCAGCCTGGCCAAAATGGTGAAACCTGTCTCTACTAAAAATACAAAAAAAAATTAGCCAGGCATGGTGGTGCATGCCTGTAATCCCAGCTACTTGGGAGGCTGAGGCAGGAGAATCTCTTGAACCCAGGAGGTGGAGATTGCAATGAGCCAAGATTGTGCCATTGCACTCCAGCCTGAGTGACGAGCAAAACTCCGCCTAAAAAAAAAATAGACTGGGCGTGGTGGCTCACACCTGTAATCCCAGCACTTTCGGAGGCAGAGGTGGGTGAATCACGGGAAGGATCCACCATGGGTGGGTGGATCTTGAGGTTGGTCAAGAGATCGAGACCATCCTAGCCAACTTGGTGAAACCCTGTCTCTACTAAAAATACAAAAATTAGCCGGGCATGGCGGCATGCGCCTCTGGTCCCAGCTAACTTGGGAGGCTGAGGCAGAAGAATTGCTTGAACCCAGGAGGTGGAGGTCACAGTGAGCTGAGACTGCACCATTACACTCCATCCTGGTGACAAAGCAAGACTCCATCTCAAACAATAATAACAATAATAATGATAATAATGCAGGCAAACTTGTTTAGATTTTATTCAGAGTGAGCCTATTTGTCTTTTATCTGTGCTATACGTGTCAGCATTCCATAGGCATTTCATTTACCCCTTAAAGTACCCCTGTAAATAGGTCTTTTGTCTGTGTTTTTCAGATGGGAAGACTGAGGGGTTTTATTTATTTATTTCTTGAGATGAAGTCTTGCTCTGTCACCCGTGCTGGAGTGCAGTGGTGTGGTCTCAGTTCACTGCAACCTCTGCCTGCTGGGGTCAAGAGATTCTCCTGCTTCAGCCTCCCAAGTAGCTGGGATTGTAGGAGCATGCCACCACACCCAACTAATTCTTTTTTTTTTTTTTGAGACGGAGTTTCGCTCTTGTTACCCAGGCTGGAGTGCAATGGCGTGATCTCGACTCACTGCAGCCTCCGCCTCCTGGGTTCAGGCAATTCTGCTGCCTCAGCCTCCTGAGTACCTGGGATTACAGGCACGTGCCACCATGCCCAGCTAATTTTTTGTATTATTAGTAAAGACGGGGTTTTACCATGTTGACTAGGATAGTCTCGATCTCTTGACCTCGTGATCCACCCGCCTCGGCCTCCCAAAGTGCTGGGATTACAGGCTTGAGCCACCGCGCCCAGCCTTAATTCTTATATTTTTAGTAGAGATGGGCTTGAACTCCTGACCTTGTGATCTGCCCACCTCAGCCTCCCAAAGTGTTGGGATTACAGGCGTTAGCCATTTCCCCCGGCCTATTTATTTATTTTTTAGAGTAAGATCTTGCTATGTTGCCCAGGCTGAACTCAAACTCCTGCTTCCAGGCTCAAGCAGTCCTGCTTTAGTCTCCCAAGAAGCTGGTACTGCAAGCATGTGCCACTGTGCCTGGCTCCTGAAGACTGAGGTTTGATTAATGAGTTGCCCAAATTTATACAGTTCTTAAGTGCCAAAGTTAGGATTCAAACCCAAGTCAACCTAACTAAGGCCCAAACCCCATCTTACCCCCTAGGCCATCAGACATTAGCTGGGCGAGGTGGCTTATCCCTGTAATCCCAGCACTTAGGAGGCAGAGGCAGGAGGACTGCTTGAGCTGAGGAGTTTGAGACCAGCCTGGGCAACATAGCAAGACCCTATCTCTACAAAAAATATAAAAATTAGCTGGGTGTAGTGGCTTACACCTGTAGCTACTTGGGAGGCTGAGGTGGGAGGATCGCTTGAGCCTGGAAGGTCAAGGCTACAGTGAACTGTGATTGCACCACTGCACTCCAGCCTGGATGACAGAGACCCTGTCTCAAAAAATATATAAAAAATAAAAAGAACATCAGACAGGCTGGGCACAGTGGCTCATGCCTGTAATCCCAGCACTTTGGGAGGTTGAGTTGGGTGGATCACCTGAGGTCAGGAGTTTGAGACCAGCCTGACCAACATGGAGAAACCCCATCTCTACTAAAAATACAAAATTAGCCGGGCATGGTGGTACATGCCTGTAATCCCAGCTACTTGGGAGGCTGAGGCAGGAGAATTGCTTGAATCAGGGAGGTAGAGGTTGCAATGAGCCGAGATCATGCCATTGCACTCCAGCCTGGGCGATAGAGCGAGACTCTGTCTAAAAAAAAAAGGTCAGACATCATCATTGCCTCTCCTTTCCTAGAAACCACGGGGCCTCCTCAAATTAGATCTTTCCAGGCATTTTATGAACTTGCATCTAGTTTCTGATCTCTCCCAAATTGCCCAAGATGCCGTGTGAGTGAGAACTGCTATCTTATGGGCCTCCTCCAGAATAATGAGAAGTCACCCAAACAATCTGTTTTCTAGCTCACTCAATCTTGACATATGTACAATGTCATCCTTGGTTTTCTTGGATTTCTTCATTGTCTTTCTTTGGAGGCTTCTTTCCTTTTGTTGGTTACTATTTTATTTTATTTTATTTATTTATTTTATTATAATTCAGTCTCTGTAGAGACTGTCAAAAATTGCCAATGCTGATTATATTTCAAGTCGTCATGGCAGGGTATTGGGAACAGTTTTCAATTCTCAATAATCGCGCCTCAGGTAAACCTCATTGGCTACAATACTGCTACTGTGTAAAGCTATTTTCAATTAGCAATAATAGCGCCTCAGATAAACCTCATTGAGTACAATACTGCCACTGCATAAAGCTATTTTTTTTTTTGAGACAGAGTCTACTCTGTCACCCAGGCTGGAGTGTAGTGGCGCCATCTCAGCTCACTGCAACCTCCACCTCCTGGGTTCAAGAGATTCTCCTGCCTCAGCTTCCCAAGTAGCTGGGATTACAGGTGTGTGCCAGCACACCCGGCTAATTTTTGTATTTTTAGTTAGAGACGGCCAGGCTGGTCTCAAACTCCTGACCTTGTGATTCATCTGCCTCAGCTTCCCAAAGTGTTGGGATTACAGGCATGAGCCACGGTGCCCGGCCTTCTATTTTATTTTTAATTTCCCACACCACAATGACATACGTTGGTTATTGTTTTAGACTTTTTTTGTTGTTGTCACCTGGAACTTTTGTATCTTGAATAAATTTCGGGATTAAATACATTTTTTTCTCCACCAGTCTTATTTATACCTTTCTATATTCAGAGCTTCAAATTTGATTTGGTTTAAAATTGTTCTCTCCTCCACCTTTTTTTTTTCAAGGCGAGTTTTGCTCTTGTCGCCCAGGCTGGAGTGCAGTAACGCAATCTCAGCTCACTGCAACTTCTGCCTCCTGGGTTCAAGAGATTCTCCTGCCTCAGCTTCCTGTGTAGCTGGGATTACAGGTGCCTGCCACCACACCCGGTTAATAGTTGCATTTTTAGTAGAAATGGGGTTTTGTCATGTTATCCAGGCTGGTCTTGAACCCCTAACCTCAAGTGATCTGCCCACCTCAGCCTCCCAAGTGCTGGGATTACAGGCATGAACCACGCGCCTGGACTTTTTTTATTTTTAAACTTTTATTTATTTCTTTATTTTTGAGAAAGAATCTCACTCTGTTGCTCAGGCTGGAGTGCAGTGGTGCGATCACAGCTCATTGCAGCCTCAACCTCCCAGGCTCAAGTGATCCTCCCACCTCACCTTCCTGAGTAGCTGGGACTGCAGGTGCATGTCACTGTGCCTAGCTAATTTTTTGTAATTTTCGTAGAGACAGGTTTTTTCCATGTTGCCCAGGCTGATCTGGAACTTTGGAGCTCAAGCGATCCATGCACGCCTGCCTCCCAATGTGCTAGGATTACAGGCATGAGCCACCACGCCCAGGCTTCTTTTCCATTTTATTTTATTATTTATTATTTTTTTTTCTATTTTTGAGATGGAATCTTGCTCTGTCATCAGGCTGGAGTGCAGTGGCTCAATCTCGGCTCACTTCAACCTCCGCCTCCTAGGTTCAAGCCATTCTCCAGCTTCAGCCTCTGAATAGCTGGGATTACAGGCCATCATGCCTGGCTAATTTTTTGTATTTTTATTAGAGATGGGGTTTCACCATGTTGGCCAGGATGGTCTTGATCTCTTGACCTCTTGATCCACCTGCCTTGGCTTCCAAAGTGTTGGGATTACAGACGTGAGCCACCGTGCCTAGTCTGTTTTTCCCTTTAGAGTTAATGTCCACAGCTACTGGATGTCATTTTGGTTCAGGTGGTTCCACTCATCATGCTCAAAGGTTGCCACTCCTGACGAATCACAAACAACACTTGCACCATCATCCGATTCCTTCAAAAAGAGTCTTTGGGCCCCTGGATGTCCCTGGGACTTGCTTCCTCTGCTACTCAACACTGCTCAAGGCAGGCTGGCTTTAAATATCTTTCTTAATCTAATCTGGGTCAAGGCTCTCCCTGCACCTCTGGTATTCTGTGTTGCCTCGTTAACATCTCTAGCTACTTAGTTAAGGTTGGCTTAGTGTCTATCTCTTGAGGCCAGCAGCCTTTGCCTTATTATACAGGAGTGTTCTCACTCCTGCTACCCAGTTAGTTCTGCTTCTACTGAAAGGCAGAAAGAGACTGTGGCATCATCTGGATAGTATGTTTCATCTAAAGGCCTGGTCAACAGATGTGAGTTTTAGAAACTGCTTCTTTCATCCCTCAACAATTTCACAGTTGTAGGAGCCAACATTAACCTGCCATGTCCCAAACGGCCTGGAATGGTGGCTCACGCCTGTAATCCCAGCACTTTGGAAGACTGAGGCAGGTGGATCACCTGAGGTCAGGAGTTCGAGACCAGCCTGCCCAATATGGTGAAACTCCATCTCTACTAAAAATACAAAAAATTAGCCGAGCGTGGTGGTGTGCGCCTGTAATCCCAGCTACTCGGGAGGCTGAGTCAGGAGAATCACTTGAACCCGTGAGGCGGAGATTGCAGTGAGCCGTGATCATGCCACTGCACTCCAGCCTGGGTGACAGAGTGAGACTCAGTGTCAAAACAACAACAAAACAAAACAAAACAAAATAAAAACCTTCCTTGTCCCGGACAGCCTCACCAATGAGGATTTCCACCTCAATTTCTCCGATTTCATCCCCCACTTGCCCTCCCCACCTTAATCGCTGGAGAAAGAATATTTTGAGATACCTGGGAAAGTCTTGCCCTGTGGTACAACCCACTAAAGGTTCTTTATAAATGACTAGGGAAGCTGTTCTGTTTTTTTGTTTTGTTTTTGTTCTTGTTTTTGTTTTTTTGAGATAGAGTCTCGCTCTGTCACCCAGGCTGGAGTGCAATGGCGCGATCTTGGCTCACTGCAACCTCTGCCTTCTGGGTTCAAGTAATTCTTCTGCCTCAGCCTCCCAACTAGCTGTGATTACAGGCGCATGTCATCACACCCAGCTAATTTTTGTATTTTTAGTAAAGACAGGGTTTCACCATGTTAGTCAGACTGGTCTCAAACTCCTGACCTCATGATCCACCTACCCGCCTCAGCCTTCCAAAGTGCTGGGATTACAGGTGTGAGCCACAGCACCTGGCTGTTTTTTGTTTTTTTTTTTTTTTCTGAGATGGAGTCTTGCTCTGTCACCCAGTCTGGAGTCCAATGGCGAAATCTTGGCTCACTGCAACCTCCACCTCCCAAATTCAAGCGATTCTCCTGCCTCAGCCTCCTGAGTAACTGGGATTACAGGCCCGCCCCGCCACCCCGGGTTAGTTTTTGTGTTTTTAGTAGAGATGGAGTTTCACTATGTTGGTCAAGCTGGTCTTGAACTCCTGACCTTGTGATCTGCCCGCCTTGTCCTCCCAAAGTGTAGGGATTACAGGTGTGAGCCACAGTGTCCAGCCTGTTTTGTTTCTTAAAGGCAGAAAGACAGGGTCTTACTCTGTCACTGAGTATAGTGTTGTGTCTATAGCTCACTGAGGCCTCGAACTCCTAGGCTCAAGGGATCCTCCTACCTCAGCCTCCCCAGTAGTTGAGACTACAGGTGTGTACCACCATGCCTGGTTCTGGCTATGTTTTGTTTTTGTAGAGGCAGGAATCTTGCTATGTATCCAGGCTGGTCTCAACCTTCTGGGCTCAAGTGATCTTTCTACCTCAGCCTCCCAAAGTGCTAGGATTATAGGCATGAGCTACAGCACCCTGCCTGCTCTGGGCTTCTTGCAGAGCCTCTTCAGCTGCAGAGAAGCTTCTCTCCTTTCTCCAAGTCTAGAGCCTCATCCCCAACAGGTGAGGGCTACAGTGAGCCCTTTGGAGCACACAGACCTGGGCTTCAGTCTTCTCACTAATTAGCTTTATTACTCTGGGTAAGTCACCTTCTCTGAGCCTCAATTTTCTTCTCTGCAAAATAGGACTAATAATGAAGCTGTTGGGAAGATTTACTGAACTGTAAAGGGTCTAGCACATTTTAGGAGCTCAAGGTTGACGCCTTCCCTTTTTCTTTTTTTTTGTGGGGGGGGAGGAAGGCAGGAAGGAAGGGAATAAGGACGGTAGGGAGGAAGGAAGGAAGGGAGGAAGCGGGAGGGAGGGAGGGAGGGAAGGGAAGAAAGGAAATCAAGCAATGAAAGAGACATTGCCGACCTGGATCTAGAGGTTTACAAGTTGATTTCTATTTTTTTGAGAGAAGGAAAGAAAAAAAAAATGAGTAAAGGAGAGGAAGAAAGAGGAAGAGAAAGAGGGAGAGTAAATGGAAATATTGCTTTATTTTGAAAAAAATTGGGTATTAATAATGGCCAATCAATGTTTCATTTAAACTAATGGGTAGGTGTGATGTGGTATTGACAAGAATGTATATTTTGTGTATTTGAAGTGGAGAGCTCTATAAATATTTATTAAGTTTACTTGTTCTGGATCTGAGTTCGAGTCCTTGATATCCTTATTAATTTTCTGTCTCACTGAATCTAAGTCTTCTATCTGGGTGTTAGGATCGTTAGCTCTTGTTGTTGCATTGATCCTTTTACCACTATATCTTTGTTGCTTTAAAATCTATTTTATCCGATACAAGAATTGCAACTCCTGCTTTTTATTTATTTATTATTTATTTTTGCTCTCCATTTGGTTGGTAAATCTTTCTCCATCCCTTTGTTTTGAGTCTTTGTGTATCCTTGCATGTGAAACAGGTCTGGATGTAACATGCCATTGGGTTTTGGCTGTGTCTTTTGATTGGGAATTCAGTCAATTTAAATTTAGGGTTACTGCCATTTGATGTTGACTGGCTGTTTTATCCATTTGTTGGTGTAAATTCTTCTTTATGTTGGTGCTCTTTACTTTTTGGTGTATTTTTAGAAAGGCTAATACTGGTTGTTTCTTTCTGTGTGTAATGCTTCTTTCAGAAGCTCTTGTAAAGCAGGCCTGGTGGTAATAAAATCTCTGAGTTCTTGCTTGTTCGTAAAAGATTTTATTTTTCCTTCAGTTGTGAAGCTTAGTTTGGCTGGATATGAAATTCTGGGCTGAAGGTTCTGTTCTTTGAGGATGTTGAATATTGGCCCCCACTCTCTTCTGGCCTGTAGAGTTTCTGCCGAGAGATCTGCTGTAAGTCTGATAGGCTTGCCTTTGTGGGTAATCTGACCTTTCTCTCTGGCTGCCCTTAGTATCCTCTCCTTCGTTTCAACCCTGGTGAATCTAACGATTATGTGCCTTGGGGTTGCTCTTCTTGAGGAATATCTTTGTGGTATTCTCTGTATTACCTGGGGTTGAATGTTGACCTGCTTTGCTAGTTTAGGAAAATTTTCCTGAATAATATCCTGAAGGGTATTTTCCAACTTGGATTCATTCTCTCCGTCGCATTCAGGTACACCTATCAAACGTAAATTTGGTCTTTTCACATAGTCCCACATTTCTTGGAGACTTTGCTCATTCCTTTTTATCCTTTTTTCTCTAATCTTTTCTTCACGTTTTATTTCATTAAGTTGGACTTTGACCTCTGATATCCCTTCTTCTGCTTGAACAATTCGAGTGTTTAAACCTGTGCATACTTCTCGGAGTTCCTGTATTGTATTCTTCAGTTCCATTAATTCACTCATACTCCTCTCTAAGTTGTCTATTCTCAATAGGATTTCATCAAACCTTTTTTCAAAGTTCCTAGTTTCTTTACGTTGGGCTACAACATGTTCTTTTAACTCACCGAAGTTTATTATCCATTCCTTGAAGAGTGATTCTGTCATCAGGAGGCGCTCGTTCTCCATCAAGCCTCATTCCATTGTTGATGTGGAACTGTGATCATCTTTAGAGGGAGAGGCGTTCTGACTTTGAGTATTCTCAGCTTTTTTACGCTGGTTTCTTCCCGTCATTGTAAATTTATCCTCCTGTCGTCTTTGAAATTACCAACTTTCAGATTAGGTCTCTTGAGTGGACGTCCAGGTTGTTAGTTCCCAGGGCCAGAGCAGGGGCGTTAAAATTGATGGTGCTTTTCTGCCCAGGATTCTCCCGTCGGGCTTCCTTCTTGTTTCCGTAGTAGGCGACTCTGCCTTCCCGGGGCTCCAAACCTCGGTCAGAAGGGGAACCGGTCCCGTTTACTCTGTGCCGAGCGCTGCCACTCGAGGTGCCGGCGGAACCGCTGCGCCGACCACTAGAGTCGCGCTGGCGACTCGTGTGTTTCCACCACTGGGGGATCTTCTGCTCCGTGAGCGACCAGACTTTGTCTGAAAGTGTGGCGTCCTCTAGTTCTCCGCGCCTTCCCTGAGAGCTGCAATCCCGGAATGTTAGCGATCGGCCATCTTGGATCGTTCGCCCCCTTTTTCTTTACTCTGAACTGGGGATGAGGTCTTGAGAAAGAAGAGAGGCGCTTGCAAAAGGAGGTCAGGTCTCAGGCTGGGCGCAGTGGCTCACGCTCTAATCCCAGCACTTTGGGAGGCCGAGGTGGGCAGATCACGAGGTCAGGAGTTTGAGGCTAGGCTGGCCAACATGGTGAAACCCCCGTCTGTACTAAAAATACAAAAATCAACCGGGTGTGTTGTCTGGTGCCTGTAATTGCAGCTACTCGGGAGGCTGAGGCAGGAGAATCGCTTGAACCCAGGAGGTGGAGGTCGCAGTAAGCCTAATCGCGCCACTGCACTCCATCCTGGGCGACAGAGAGAGACTCCATCTCAAAAACAAAAACAAAGAAAATACGAGGTCAGGTCTGAAAAGATGTCACCCCCAACCTGTCAAAACTTCTCCTCAAGCCCTGTTGTTCCACTCTTGTCCGCCAGGGGGAGCAAAGGTTCCCTCAAAGGATGTCTTTGCTTTTGCTTGAGCGTTGACCTACGCCCGCGGCCCTGAGCGTCCGTGAGATTCCCGGAGGCGGAGCGGGAGGGCGCAGGCGCAGAATGGCTGGCTGGGCGTGACGCGGCGCCAGACTTGGGCTTCTGTATTCTGCCTGGCTGGAGCTGGGGCTGGAAGAAGGTCCGGAGGTGGGCGGGAGTCCCCCCAGGGATTTCTTCTTATCGCAGTACTAGCTGTCATCTTCGTTTTCTACAAGCGAGGACCTGACTCCTTTCAGAGTCAGCATTTCTTTCCCTTCGTGGATGCTCTTGAGTTCCAAAGAAAAGAAAGTCTTCATTGAGCAACTTCTTCTTTAGGGACTTGGCAAGGGGGTAGATCGACCTTAGGGGAAATGATGCCCCCTTACTAGAGGAAGTTTTGGATCAGGGTTTGCTTTATTTGAAATTTAACAAATACAGAAGAATAGAAGGCAGAAAATGGAAGTAATCCATGTTTCCATCACCCCAAAGTATCCATTGCTGTCTTCTGAAAATGGGTCCTAATAGGTTTGTTCAACAAATATTTATTATACACTACCTATACTAAGCGCTTAGCACTGTTATGAAGGAACTACAGAGGGAAAAGAATGATGATTAGTAGGCCAGGCGCGGTGGCTCATGCCTATAATCCTAGCACTTTGGGAGGCCGAGGTGGGTGGATCACCTGAGGTCAGGAGTTCAAGACCAGCCTGGCCATCATGGTGAAACCCCACCTTATAAAAAGAAAAAAAGAATCATGATTAGCAAAGAAGATTTTTAGAAATCTGTGCATGTGAGGCATGGTGGCTCACGCCTGTAATCCCAGCACTTTGGGATGCTGAGATGGGAGGATCACGTGAGGCCAGGAGTTGGTCAACATAGTGTGACCCCATGTCTACTAAAAAAGAAAAAGTCAGGGCGCAGTGGTTCACGCTTGTAATCTCAGCACTTTGGGAGGCCGAGGCAGGTGGATTGCCTGAAGTCAAGAGTTCAAGAGCAGCCTGGCCACTATGGTGAAACCTCCTCTCTACTAAAACTTCAAAAATTAGCTGGGAGTTGTGTGGTGCACCTGTAATCCCATCTCCTCAGGAGGCTGAGGCAAGAGAACCTCTTGAACCTGGAAGGCAGAGGTCGCAGTGAGCCATATCACGCCACTGCACTCTAGCCTGAGCAACAGAGCAAGACTCTGTTGTCTTGAAGGGACAATCCCATAATAGCAAATAGCAAATGACAGAGACTCATTTGACTAAGAAAGATTTTTTTTTTTTTTTGAGATGGAGTCTTGCTCTGTCATCAGGCTGGCGTAGTGACACGATCTCGGCTCACTGCAACCTCCACCTTCCAGGTTCAAGTGATTCTCCCACCTTAGCCTCCCAAGTAGCTGGGACTAGGTGCATACCACCACGCCCAGCTAATTTTTGTATTTTTAGTAGAGATTGGGTTTCACCACATTAGCCAGGATGGTCTTGATCTCCTGACCGACCTCATGATTCGCCTGCCTCAGCCTCCCAAAATGCTGGGATTATAGTTGTGAGCCATGGCACCCAGCTGACTAAGAAGGGTTTTTGACCAGAAAACCCACAGAAGAGATAAGCTGTAGACATGATGAGAAAGGCACTACAATCTGCATTTCAATCTAATTGTACATTAGATAATATATATGAAAAATTATTTAACCTAGTCCCTGATTTCATTAATATATTTTTATAAGGTTTTCATTAGTTGTTTTTTAATAAAAACACTTTATTGCACAAATTCCACAAAGATCTCCGGCCCTGGGGCCAAGCCCACAGCCCCAACCTGGCTCCGAGCCTGTTCTTTGGTCCCCACCCTGGCCTGAAGTGCCAAGGTCTTCTGCAGAGTGTGCAGGTTTCCATGAGCGTTCCTGTGTTGGGGGAAGCCTTCCTGGGCCACAGGTAATTGGGAACTGTGGCAGCCTCAAGATGCAGACAGGATGGGTGGAATGGGGTCCTCACCTGCCCAGGCTCAGGGGCCACAGGGGTCTACACAGTCCTTTCTGCTTTGAAACACATGGTAGATGCTGGTGGGAGGGAACATGGCACCAGCACCAAGCAGGGAGCCCATCTGGATGGCCACACCAGCTGCCAGCAATGCTGGCCGGCCCCCACCATGTAGCAGGGAACTTGCAGCCACCTTCACATATGAGAACACACACAGACACAGAATCCATGACAGCACCTGCAAGGGAGGACATGGCAGCAGGCTAAGCATGAGATACACTTGTTCCAGGGAACACCCTCCTCCTCCTTCATGTCCCCACTTGCTCACCACAAGGATCACCCCTGCAGTGGTGCCCACCTCTGGGCAGGGGCTCAGGATTGCCAGCGCCATCAGGTAGGCCCCAAAGAGCATGCCCAGCAGAGAAAGACCACCCAGCCCTGCCAGGGACCTGTCGGGGATGAGCAGAGACTCAGGGCTGGCTGTTCCAGGACCTGGACCCCAACCTTGTGTTCCACCCACCAAGGAGCTTGGGGCCCCTTTGCACCTGCACAGCAGGCCCATGGCCAGGAAGCAGGCAAGGGGGTTGGCAGCACTGCCCAAAACCACAGCCAGGTGGTAGGCCAGGCGCCCATAGGCCAAGCAGGAAAAGCTCTGCATAGCAGGCAGCACACCATTGGTCAGGGCACTGGTGATGGCCAGCAGCCCCAGCAGGAAGGCACCATGGGCTGAGAGCAGCTGATGGGCCTCAGGGTCTGGGTCAGGGATGGTGCTTGCTGCCTGGCTTGGTGGCTCCTGCAATGACAAATCCTCTTCCTCCTTCTCTTCCTCCTCTGCTCCTAGGGATCCCAGTTGATGTCCAGGCCCTGAGCACCCTGTGGATACAGATGGTAGTGATGGCAACAGCAACAGGAGACCCTGGAAGGCAGCAGCAGAAGTGACCAGAAGGGTAGTCAGTGCCCAGAAGAAGGTGCTGGCAGGAAAATGCTCAGGGAAGTTGAGGGGAGGCCCAGAGGTGCTGTTGGTGGGGGCTGTCAGGCACTCAAGGTGGCCCACACCCTGCACAAGGGCCAGCACACAGGGGAGCAGGGCACTGAGACCCTGACCCAGGAAGAAAGACCGTAAGAAAGGAGGTGGCAGGTGGTTCAGGAAGGGCAGGAAAGTGACAGTGGTACAGCAGGCCAGTGCCAACACCAAGGCCAGCATCAGGAAGGCCAGCCACAAAGTGGAGCTGCCCTGCCACTGGGACCACGTGGTGCCACAGAGGTGCCAGCAGGGCTGTGCCCACTACACTCAGTGCCTGTACCACCTGGATAGGGACCTGTTCGCCCTTGCCCAGGGCCAGTCGTCTCCATAGAGTCACCACCAGCAGACCCAGGTTCCCCAGTGCCACACACGCAGAGAGGTATGAGGGGAGGCTCCAACCTGCAGGGAAGGAACAATGCCATGTCAGGAGCATGGTGGTTAAGGGACAAAGAGCTGCCACAGGCCACCTTCCTGGGCACACCTGCCTCATGCTTCCCTGCAACTCCTTCCTACTTACCCTCCGGAAGGTCTTTTACCAACACGGGCAGCTCCACCCAGATCCCATTGACAGCAGCCCAGGAAGCCATGCCAAAAAAGGCCACTAGCAGGTCGGTCAGCACCAGACGGCCCAGCGTGGGTGCTGCCATTCAGCCCAAAGCTGGACTCTCCAGGACAGGGAAAAGGTCACAGGCAGGTCTTTCCCCACCTAGGTCCAAAGATGCTTTGGCTCTTCTGGAAACTGAATACCTCTTCTAGCTGGAAGGAAACAGACAGGCTGGCAGGTAATAGGCTGGTGGGACAGAACCAGAGTCAGAAGACAAGACGTTCAGACTGCTAAGACCAGGACAACTGGAGGGAGAGGTAGGCGGGGGTGGGTGGGGAGGAGGAGGGGCCAGGACCTACCACAGGCACCGGCTGCGCATGTGGGGACTGTGACCCAGCAGCGCTGGCAGGGAGAAAGGCAGGAAGCTGGCCGAGGCGCAGCTGCCCCAGAGGAGCAAAAGGGAGCTGATCTTCCTACCCACGGAGGACCCCGGGTTCGAGTTGTCAAAACAGCTATGCACTGGTCGGGCACGATTGCTCACGCCTGTAATCCCAGCACTTTGGGAGGCTGAGGCGGGCAGATGGCCTGAGGTCAGGAGTTTGAGACCAGCCTGGCTAACATGGCAAAACCCTGTCACTACTAAAAATGCCAGAATTAGCTGGACTTGGTGGCTGGTGCTTGCAATCCCAGCTACTTTGGAGGCTGAGGCACGAGAATCACTTGAGCCCAGGAGAGGGAGGTTGCAGTGAGCTGAGATCCGGCCACTGCACTCCAGCCAGGGCAACAGAGTGAGACTCCGTCTGAAAAACAAAACAAACAAACAAAAAAGACAGCTTGGCACCAACACCACCCTCACCCTGAACCTCGGGACAAGGGCAACTCTCAGGTGTCACGCGCTACCCAAGCGCTTCTGTGACACCTAGGACTTGACGAAGCTAGTCGGGTTGGAGAGGGGAGTGGCCAGGACGAGCTCTACCGCGAGGGACGTCTCCGTGCTGCCCTCCCGCTGGCGTCTGGAGGGCGTCCCAGGAGCCGCCAGGGGCTTAGGGGTCCCCACGCCTCCCATTCCAGCAGCCCCTGGACCCAGCGGCGGCTGGCGGGCCGCCTGAGAGGGAGCACCCTCCGCTGGGGAGGCGACTCAGCCCAGAACCCTTGTTTTTTTTTTTGAGACAGAGTCTCGCTCGGTCGCCAGGCGCCAGGCTGGAGTGCAGTGGCGCGATCTCAGCTCACTGCAACCTCCGCCTCCCGGGTTCAAGCAATTCTCCTGCCTCAGCCTCCTGAGTAGCTGGGACTACAGGCGCACCACCACGCCCAGCTAATTTTTGTATTTTTAGTAGAGACGGGGTTTCACCACGTTGGCCAGAATGGTCTCGATCTCTTGACCTCGTGATCCGCCCGCCTCGGCCTCCCAAGGTGCTGGGATTACAGGCGTGAGCCACCGCGTCCGCCCAGAGTTTTCTTTTTTAAAAATAATTTATTATCATTATTATTTAAGACGGAGTTTTGCTCTTGTCCCGGCTGGAGTGCAATGGTGCCTCCCGGGTTCAAGTGATTCTCCTGCCTCAGCCTCCTGAGCAGCTGGGATTACAGGCATGCACCACCATGCCTGGCTAATTCTGTATTTTTAGTAGAAAGGGGGTTTTTTCATGTTGGTCAGGCTGGTCTCAAACTCCCAACCTCAGGTGATCCGCCCTCCTTGGCCTCCCAGAGTGCTGGGATTACAGACATGAGCCACCATGCCTGATTAGTAATTATTTTTGAGACAAGGTCTTGCTCTGTCACCCAGGCTGGAGTGCAGTGGCAGCTATCATGGCTCACTGCAGCCTTTACCTCCCAGGCTCAAGCGATCCTCCCACCTCAGCCTCCCCCTAGAGTAGCTGGGACCCCAGGCGAGCATCACCATGTCCAGCTAATTTTGTTGTTGTTGTTGTTGTTGGTAGAGACTAGGTCTCATCATGTTGCTCAGGCTGGCTTCAAACTCCTGGGCTCAAGCAATCTTCCTACCTCAGCTTCCCAAGTAGTTGGGACTACAGACACACCATGCCCACGCTCAGCTATTTTTTTTTTTTTTTTTTTTGAGACGGAGTTTTGCTCTTGTTACCCAGGCTGGAGTGCAATGGTGCAATCTTGGCTCACTGCAACTTCCGCCTCCTGGGTTTAGGCAATTCTCCTGCCTCAGCCTCCTGAGTAGCTGGGATTACAGGCACGCGCCACCATGACCAGCTAATTTTTTTGTATTTTTAGTAGAGACAGGGTTTCACCATGTTGACCAGGATGGTCTCGATCTCTTGACCTTGTGATCCACCCGCCTCGGCCTCCCAAAGTGCTGGGATTACAGGCTTGAGCCACCGCGCCCGGCCCCCACGCTCAGCTATTTTTACATTTTTAAATGGTTGAAAAACAAATTAACTGGACGTGGTGTGTGTGCACACCTGGCTAATTTTTGCATTTTTTTGTAGAGACACGGTTTCCCCACATTGCCCAGGTTGTTTTTGAATTCCTGGGCTCAAGTAATCTGCCCGCCTCACCCTCCCAAAGTGCTGAGATTACAGGCATGAGCCACCGCACCCAGCCCATCATTTGATTTCTAAATCACAACATGATGCACGTTACTTGTACACAACATCGTAAATGCTTTTAGGATTTTCATATCATGAGGAAAATGAGGCCCAGAAAAGCTAGATGACTTACTTAGAATACAGAAGGATGGGATTGGGACCAGACCCACTAATACTGGATTTCTAGACTGGTACTCTTCTGTTTCATCAAACTAAATGTGGTTCGGCCGTTAATAATACTTTGTACTTGTTCACTCATTGACCATCTCAGGGATTGCCGTGACTTACTACCCATTTTTGTGTGGCCTGTTAGCTAAGACAGGTTTTTACATTTTATTTGTTTATTATTGTTATTATTTTTGAGAAAGTGGGCTGGGTGTGGTGGCTCACGCCTGTAATCCCTGCATTTTAGGAGGCTGAGGTGGGTGGATCACAAGGTCAGGAGTTCATAGATCAGGCTAGCCAAGATGGTGAAACCCTGTCTCTAACTAAAAATATAAAAAATAATTAGCCGGGCATGGTGTCGGACACCTGTAGTCAGCTACTTGGGAGGCTGAGGAGGAGAATTGCTTGAACCTAGGAGGTGGAGGTTGCAGTGAGTCGAGATCATGCCAATACACTCCAGCCTGGGTGATAGAGTGAGACTCCATCTCAAAAAAAAAGAGAAAGTTTCTTGCTCTGTCACCCAGGCTGTAGTGCAGTGGCACAGTCACAGCTCACTGCAGCCTCAAATTCTTGGGCTCAAGGGATCCTCCCACCTCAGCCTCCTGAGTAGCTGAGACTCCATCCCCCGCCCTCCAGCAAAAAGAAATTCAGTGCCCATAAATAAAATTCTATCGGAACACAGCCAAGCCCATTCATTTACATATTGTCATATACCGGCTTTCCTGCTACAAGGGCAAAGTTGAATGGTTTACACATTCAACTTTGTGTGGTCCGCAAAGCCTAAAATGTTTACTATCTGGCCATTTACAGAAAAAGTTTGCTGGTCTGTCTCCCTGACTAGGATTTAAGTTTCCTGAGAGAAGGCGCTTTGTCTATTCTCAGTGATCATTATATCACCAAGAGGTGCTCAAATTGTTGTTGAATAAATAAACCAATAATACCCTAAAATCTGTGTTTCAAAAAACACAAGCCTGGCACACTGGTGCATACCTGTAAATCCAGCTACTCAGAAGGCTGAGGTGAGAGGATCACTTGAGCCCAGAAGTTTGAGGCTGCAGTGAGCCATGATTATGCCACTGCACTCCAGCCTGGGCAACAGAAGGAGACCCTGTCTCTTAAAAAAACAAATAGTAAAATAAATTTTGAAAGTTCCGTAGATGACTCTGATGTACAACTAAGCTTGGCCTCACTGCTGAGGGAAAGGGTAGACCAAACAGAAATGAGGTCACATTGGCTGGGTGTGGTGGCTCACGCCTGTAATCCCAGCACTTTGGGAGGCCCAGCGGGCAGATTACGAGGTCAGGAGTACGAGACCAGCCTGGCCAATATGGTGAAACCTCATCTCTACTGAAAATATAAAAAATTAGCAGGCATGGTGGTGGGTGCCTATAGTCCCAGATACTCAGGAGGCTGAGGCAGAAGAATCACGTGAACCCAGGAGGCAGAGGTTGCAGGGGACCAAGATCATGCCACTGCACTCCAGCCTGGGCAACAGTGTGAGACTTCATCTCAAAAATAGAAAAGGAAAGAAAAGGGGTCACATTTAGTTTCCTACAGTAATACCAAGCAATGATGTTTCTAATACTCCAAGAGGATGAGAAATGAAAAGACACTATTTATCCAACACTTTTCTTGTACTTATTATATGCCAGATACTGGCATAAATATTTTGAGAAAATATTAAAAACAATCCTCCCAACAGTCCAATGGAGTGGCTACTGTTATAAATTCTCCACTTATAAGTAAGAAAACCAGAAACCGAGGTACATAAAGATTCAGTAGGCTGGGCTCGGTGGCTCATGCTTGTCATCCCAGCGCTTTGGGAGGCCAAGGCAGATGGATCACCTGAGGTCAGGAGTTCAAGACCAGCCTGGCCAACATGGTGAAACCCTGTCTCTACTAAAAATACAAAAATTAGCTGGGCATGGTGGCATGCATTGGTAGTCTCAGCTACTCTGGAGGCTGAGGCAGGAGAATCGCTAGAACTCAGGAGGTAGAGGTGCAGTGAACCGAGATCACGCCACACTATTCCATCCTGAGCGACAGAGAAAGACTCCGTGTCCAGAAACAAACAAAAAAGATTCAGTTACTTGCCTGACATTCCACAGGTTGGGAGCAGAGCCATGATCTGAGTGTTGGTGACAGTCTAACTGCAAGGACTGTCCCCTTAACGTAGCTGATCCCCTCACCCCTTGGCCAAAGAGCCTGCTGCCACCATCCAGGCTGGAGTGCAGTGGTGTGATCTTGGCTCACTGCATCCTCTGACTCCCGGGTTCAAGTGATTCTCCTGCCTCAGCCTCCCGAGTAGCTGGTGAGCTACCTCGTCCAGCTGGTAATTAACAATTTATAGACATAGTTCCTCATATGTTAGGGACCTTGCAGAAGAGG